CCCCGTGAATACTGGGAGAAAGATCTCGCTAACCTTGATCAATACGAACAGCGTCACCAAAATCATATCAGGGATGGCAAATGGAACATGGTAGTCGTACAAAGCAAGAGGAATAGGATCACGTTGTGTCCCCTGAGCGTGTCAGATATGTGGAGGAAGTTACCGTGGATTGCAAGGTGGTTCCGCTGTTGTTCAGCCTACAAGCTACACCTGGTAACACATTCACAATATGTGCTGCTTGAAAATTAACTGTAGAAGCATCGTTTTCTCCATGCTCGTCTTCCGATATTCACGGTATTGACATGCACAGCTTGTAGAGTTAACCTATAAAGAATGATTCCCTGAAAGTCCTTGGCCTACTCGGATGAAGTCCATTTTAGAAGGTAACATTCCAATTCACAAACTGTACACAGTCACAGGTGCAGACTACATACTTGATGCCAACATGTGTTTCCTTTTATCCCCGCGCATCCCACGACTCAGCAGTACACTGAAAGCAGCAAAGTTAAATCAGAGGGCTCAAAAACAATGTAGCATCCCTTATGAAGAAACTAGGAGAGCCCTCCATCTCGTGCCACTTCGAAGTACAGACGCGTCGAAGTTCCAATAATGCTAAATTAATCCTCTTACACGAACTGTTGGCATGGAGATAATCGTGCCAAGCACACGGTAATAGTGTATTTTCCCAGTCAATTCCCCTACACAACTGTACTTTTTGCGGAGATAGACACAAGTAGAGCGAGCAACATGGAGGACAGCCTCCTGCACAACAATCCTGCCGCTCGGCCTCATGACAATATTAATGGATGGCATAAAGTAAGAGCTGTATAAGTAAATGAAGGGGCATTCCAGCTTGCAGTCACAATATACTATCTCTGCCGATGGTCCCGCACCTGAAAAGGAAAATCAATCCAGGATAAGCAATATGTCATCCAGCTTGCACTTGAACACAAGACAGTAACTGTCAGTGTATGGAGTTGATCCCTCATCGCAAGCAGATCCTGTGTCAGTGTACATTTATATTCACTGTTTCACGGAAGACCATCCAGTACAGGTATTAGAATCTCGTAGAGATTGTCGAGACGTAGGAAAAGTAACACGCCAGCTGAAACACATTAAGTAGTTGTATCGATGCATATGCTGCACTTGATGTGATATTCCAGAATAGTTCCCATCCACGGAGCCCTGTTGCCGTGTGTTAGATTCCGTTTGTATCCCTTGTCGCTCTGCTAGTAATGGCAGCAAGTCTCAAGCAGGTCCAAGAATCACCCCCACAATACTGTGAAACGACAGATTAAGACACCCTCTCTGCTTCAAATGAGGTTTATGCATAGGACTGTGGAAGTGTGCATAAGAGCATGTCACCTCATGTCGCTCATCAGATGACTGTCGCAAGTCCAACTCCGATAAGTGCCCCCTTGCTTTGAATTCCTGTTGTCGACGTCTACATGCCCATCCGTGTTGTGACTGGTTATGATTGAAACTTTTATCATCAAGGGATCCCCAGAGGGAGTCTAACTTCAGCCTAACTCATCTATGCTTCTTCACAATGCTTGATGTTCCGCTGAAGTATCGTAGTTTGTTCTCATGGGCATAATAGTCACTGATCTAAAGCGGAAGGGAGGAATAAAGGATGTGGTTTTGAAATTTTGGAAGAAAGGATATCCCCTAAAATGACTTTTTCGGAATTTTTGAGATAGAAAAGAAAAGAATATGCATCATATGTAAAAAATCAATACCGTTTGGGGTGTACAAACTTCTGTACCGCACTGCAAAGGCATCCTTCCTCATGTCGTGTCGCGGGATCCTACGAACCTTGGAATTTGATATCATTATTACCACTATCAATGCTGCAGTAAAGTATTCAATGTGAAAAGACAACAAAATGCAGTATAATAATAAAAAAAAGCAGTAGGTACTGAGTCAAATGTCTCCATCTTCGGGCACCTGACTCAATACCACAATGGTATATGGATGCATATTACACATGATGTGAATCCATAGAGTGATAAAAATGCCGCATCCGAATCACCTTTAACGTATTGAAGAAAAGGAAGCAAAATCGAAGTGTCAAACACGTTGCGACATAAAGACAGCCGTTCGGATGACAAATTGAAAAAATTTTCGACTCCCGGCATATCGAAGTTTCCATTGGTGCTTCACTCACGAATGGATCACCCCGCTCCAGTCCGTGCCATGTGAGAAGACAGCCTTTGCAAAATAGTATGCACCATCAACAGATCCTCCTCGTCTTCAAATGGCGCAAGAACAGGAACGTGGACAAGGTACTTCAGTGAAGACCTGGTGCTAGGGGCCTCCATACTCACATATCCCTGTTGTCCATGTTGATGAATATCTATATCGTGATGCGCACCGCGTGGGGAGTATGTGGAAAATGTTTGGCCTGTAGCCTCATCGTCCGTAAGGATAGCCTGCTGTGCCAGAACTCGAAGGAGAGCCAAGGCCTTCTCGTATCCTCCTAGCAACCTCTGAGTCTCAAGCTCCACATGGGTTGTCGCTGCCGATGCCTTTTCTTCACCCCACGCCTCTTCCCCAGAAAAGTTTGCAACGGAATCTCCTCCGTGGAGTATGCGGGCATCGCCACTAGTTGCATCGGAAAAGGCATCCTCTTGAATGTACGAAAGAGCCTTACGAAGAACGATGGCTTCCGCCCTCGGATAGAGCCTCTGCCATAGACGAGGTGGAAGCCGTCGCCGGTGGTGTGCAACTAACGCATTCAGGTGATTAAGGAGCCCGTGCCACACGTCATTGAGGAAGACAAAATGCTGCGGAAGGCGCAGGCCACCCATCTGCTCCACATCCTGAATGAAAGCTGAGTAACCACTTTGAATCAGCTCCATGAGAAACGACAGGATAATTAGGACGCCAGCCGCTTCTGCCTCCGCCTCCACGACGTACAATAGAACGCACCAGACGAAGTTGCGCACAGCGTACGTAACAACATAAGGCCCACAGGAAGTTGGCAATGTAGGGTCCACATCATAAGAGGCGGGTATCGGTCCTGACACAGACAGTGTCGTCCACCAAGTTGCATCCCTCCTCAAATCCTCTGCCTCAGTGAGGGGAGAATCTCCCGCACTTCCCTTGTAGCTGCAGCTCTCTGAAAGGAGTGGCGGATTCTGCACGGCATCTGGTGGGGCTGAGGGCCCAGGTAAAGACACAGAACTCAATGACGAGGGATACATGGCGAATCCACTTCCTTCGACCGCCCGCCACGTCTGTTCCTCGAGAGAGAGCAGGGGAATAGTTGGGGGTGGTAAAGGGGTTCCATTTTCGAGCGCAAACCATGGATGCCGCAACACCGCCTCCACTGAAAGACGTTTCTGAGGGTCCTCAGACGTCATGCCTTGCAGTAGATCTAACCAAAGAGGAGTACCAGCTTTGTGGCGCGATACCTCGTGTTGGATGGCATCAGGAACAGCCATGAGAAGCTGCGCAGGACGCGTGGCGCGCACAGGACGACCGACCATGAGTTCGTAAAGCACCATTCCGGCCGAATACACATCTGCTTTGTAGCTGTACGGCTTTTGTCGTATTCGTTCAGGAGACATGTACATGGGAGTGCCAAGTGTGGAGTGAAAGAGAACACTGGAAACCACCGTGGCCTCACGGTCCACTTTAGTGTCGCATATGGGGTTTGTGGCCGCAACCTTGGCCATTCCGAAGTCCGCAACCTTGAGCACTGCCTCTTCAAGATTTTTGCTAGTAAGAAGTAAGTTGGCTGGCTTGATGTCGCGATGAATAATGCACTCTGATTTGAAAACAAGCAAGGCATTACACAGTTGGTAGATGAGGCTGCGGGCAACGCCCTCGCTCACTTTGCCTTTGGTTTGCATCCAATGATGCAGATCGCCACCGGGGCAATACTCTGTGACGATGACGTAAACCCTATTGGAATTTTCTGGGTCAGTTTTCTTGATCCATGAGTCATACATACCAATAACGTTGGGGCAGTTGCGCGACTTGAGTTGGGCGAGAGCATTGATTTCCTGTGGCGGTGGCACCCTCCCTGCTCTAGCCGCCTCATCGCTGGCGTCTTCGTTGAAGTAGAGATAAGATGCATGTGATGCGCAGAAGGGTGTGATATCGTGGAATATTTTTACAGCTACCTCACGCTTTCTAGATTTGCAGTAGCCCTTGTAGACAGTACCGAATTGGCCCTTTCCAAGGATGGAATCTTCAAAATAGACAATGTCCTCCCCTATGTATTTTTCCTTCCGCTGTGGAATAAGAGTGACCTCCTGCCCTTCCATCAGAATTAACAAAAGGAAAAGAAAACCCTCCAGGCAAAAAAAAAGGGCACCACACAGAGTATATATGGATAATTATGTCTTGGGATAACCTATTAACTCCGATGGTTGGTATCTGAAGATAAGAAGAATTTGATTAATTGTGCAAACGCATTTGACAGAATTTGTGAGCATTAGGGCTCTTAACCTTTTCTTCATTTTTCCAGCCAATAATCATGATGCTTACATAGGATTGCTGCGCATCTCCTTGGCGGTAAGAACAAAAAAAAAATCTTGCAAGAGGTGACCGAAAGCGAATGGGAATCTAGTAAATCTCCCAAAATCTTCGCCTGTCGGAACTACTGAAGAATAGACAGAAATCGAAATACGCATGTATGACTATATACTTCCCAAAGCTAATATGGGATACTAATTCCTCTTACATTCACAAAAAGCCATCTTTTAGTCTCTAGTAGGTTTTGAATGGGAATATCCAACATATAAATTCACGCTCAACAAAAACGGAATGTCCACGTTGTGGCTGGTAATGCAGGGGATAAAAAATTAACTATAGAGCACACAAATGAAAAATTTTGTTGGCATTTCATTAACATTATTATTATGACGAACGCCCATATTTGTACATCATAATAAAAAAAAATAGGTCAGTGAGAATTTGTTTCGCGGAGGAGCGGGGAGGTACCGAAGGATGACATATGATATGGAAACAGTTACGAATAGGAATGAAACAAAGGAAGAAAAACGTTTTTCCACCTTTCGGATAGATAATATGGGTTTCCTCATTGTCTAGGAAAGCCCAGATTAAATATCATGCCTAGGCATCATCTAGGATGCATCTTTGTTTCAATAACAAGAGCAGAACTTCAGTCCTCGCGAGCTAAACATAGGCATCCGCATGAGAATATTGACATGTGTATAAATAAAAAGAAGAAAACTCCTTCAGTACGCCCGCTCCTGATCGTCTAACACTCAATCTGTTCGTATTGGTTGTCAAAATGCGGAATTCTTAAAGAGAGAGTCCCCTGTAGTCATGTAAGCTACTTGATCTTAACCCGGATCAATCATTATTAATTCCCTTTTCGCTGTTAACTGAGTATCTCTCAAAGTGAACCAACAGGGCTAAAAGAAAAATAATGGTAATCTATGCAAGGACAAACAGTACTCAATATAAATGAAAATACATGAAACATGCCATGCAATCTATCGCAAATAGATGAGTTTGAGGATGCTTAGAAGAAGGTAAGACTTGACTTAATATATATATATATATATATATACGAATATGCAGACCAAAGAAAAATAGTGGGACAAATTCTGGCCTATCCTACTCAAAACTTCGCTGTGATATCTATTCAACTCTTCTTAGCATGTCAATGTCATCCCAGAGTATAGTTTAAACACGCAGTGAAGGCAAAAAAAAAAACATGGCATTCCCCTTCCCGCGTGTTCCCCCTGTCCGTCATCTCAGGAGTAGAAGACAATTGAAATTTGGCACCTCTGTGTTGCAAAATAAAATATTTAACTCGATCAAGAATTCAGTTTTAAGGTTGAATAAATAAAACGAACTTCGAAGGATCACAAAGTACAGCATCAGTTCCATCTCTCAACATTTATTATCTCAATAATGTTCTTTGTATACATGTGCATATTTGTACCACATCATATCACATTGTCAAAACTTACATCCTACGAAATGGTTATTATTTTATTGAGTCGTTTTCCTGATGACTCGTGTAAAAAAGAAACACGACAAACAACTATGCGTATGTGGCTTTCGTAAAACATTTGGATTGGCTCGTAGGTAAAATGTAAACTAAGCCACTCACCCTCCCTCCTCATTTCCTCCTCCTTTCCCTTATGGAAAATCCGCTCCAAGACCAGTTACCCCTTCTTATCAAGGTTATTTTTGTCCGATAAGATCTCAATTGCCTTTGCGACATCTTGATCCGTGAGCCCCGTTAAGCCATTTGTTGTGATAGAATGCTTAGAAAAGAAAGCCTTGTTTGGTGCCAATGCGGGAAGGTTAATATCGTCTAGCGCCAGAAAATTCTTTACTCCAAGGCTTTCGTTGTCTTTCAGCCACGTTAATATTTCGATCACCCTTGGACGGCTGCTAATGCATGGTGTGCAACCGATGAATGGGCTTATACCGTTGGCTATCAGTTGCTTCTTAACTTCCTTGCGCCCGAACTCGGAAGTTCGCCATGACGAACTCAAAACTATTTTCGCTTGCGTGGCATCAACTATTTTTTTGAGCCTTTGCATATGAACTTTACTGAACATAGGCCCGCTAAAAGGTGAAATCACCCCGTCGCAATCTAGAAATATAATTTTTGGCCCGGTTGACATTTAGAATTCCCTAAATTGTAAGTTCAATTCCTTTTCTCAGACTATGTAGTTTAATTATAAAAGTCGGATATCCTGGAAAGAAGAAAATAAAGCACAAAATATTTGGTGTAGAAGAAGAATTGGTCATAATTGTATCATTATAGGATTAATAATTGCATTCCTCCCCGTCGCTACTTAAGCCTCCAAAGTGTCTAGTCTAACATTTATGGGATCCACGCATGAGCAATATTGGTTATAATAATCTTAGCAAGATAATAATAATAATATTTAATTGAATTCAATTAGGTTGATACGATTTCAAAAAAAACGAAGATAATTATAATAACAGCAATCATGTAATAATAATAATAATGAGCAAGACAACACATAAGCAATATATTTCCCCACAGAGCACACGTCGTTGTAAATGGAAGACACGCTGAATATTGAAATAATTTTTTGATTACTTTAAAAAAAATGAAGCAAGGATATTTAAAATTCCTTTACCCCTTTATTTGCTAAGATTAGCATGCATACTCACATATTCATCGATACGTATTACGTGTGTAGGCATAAAAAGGTGGTGATGCGGTCAGGTATTCTGTTGCCTTAACCTCACGTTACGTTTTTGCGGAGGTATAATTTCTGGAATGAGTTACAGGTGGCGTCCTTTTTTTTGATTATTAGAGGCGTCTTTTATGAAGAATACCGATTGCTACAGACAAATATTCACATCATATGCTACCTGGAATCCCATAATTACAGCAAAATAGGTTAATAGCAGGAGACACACTAGTCATACGAATTGAAGACGCAATACCATTGCAACGTTTTGTTGCGTGGAAAATGTCATAATTCTCTTTTTTGCCTTAGTCTTTATTCTTTAAATTTATCCATGGGAAGGTATAAATTATCACTGATCGTTCCAGACGACAAGCCGTGCACATGCATCGTAAGGTCGTAGGCTATCTGCATGTTGAGTCTGGAGTCCTGTTGGTAGGCCGGATGAGAAAGAACAAATTTCCTCAAGTACTGTGCCGCCGTTGGAATGGCGCCTGACGCACGCATGGAAAGAAATTTCAGATATGCTTCTAACTGAGGGCATGACAGGTTTTCGTCCTCAATGTATCGGCGCACCAAAGGGATCAAACCATAGTATTCAGCACCCTTGCCATTGAATATTTCATCAATGCTGAGTTTCGTGGTCTCGGCATCGCTGCTTGTGTATGAGTCACTGAATATTTGCTTTCGCATCACGTACATTTGGCTGCACGGGTTAATGAGGTGGGCACGGCCCATGTTCTCGTCAACAATAGACATCTTGGTGTAAAAGATGGGATTGTACTTGATAATGGCATTAGTTAAAAGGGATATAAAGGTAGCGAAAGCAGCGTTCTCAAAAGGTGTCGGAAGGACATCCATGACGCGAAACTCCAGACGCCAACCAATATTGCTTCCGTACGGCGGAGGCTTCAATCGAACGGTCTGCCAGTTCGTAGACTGAATGTTTTCGAAGTGCTCCGTATGTGTGTTGTCGTCAATGTCAATCATTTGATCATACATAACGAGCGGGTCACGAATGAACAGATGAGCAACATGCTTGGCCAATCGGTCGTCGACGCCGACTTTACTCAGGATGTCAAAGTAGGGCTGATTATATTCCACCAGCGAATCATTGAACTCCTCGAGGTTATCAACGTCAGGACTGATAAAAAGGGAAACAGAGTCATACCGTGACTTTAGTATACGCGGGACCTCTTCGCGCTTGCGGTCATCGACGGAGGCCGCAATGGTCAGCCAGCGCACGTCAGAGTCACACAGTAGGCCCTTCTGAAAGGGTGTTGCCGAGCTTAGGGCCAGAAACATTGGGCAGAGAATCGCAAGTTGATCATATACGTGTCGGGCCTGTCGCACATTACGGAGCTGCATGGTCACCTGAAGGCAGCAACTCCCCATGCCAAAGGCCATGCAATCCATGTAAATACACGGATGAGAAATGCAAGGAACCGGGCAAGGGCAAGAATCGAATCGCCTCTTGACGTTCTCACGTTGCCCCTTCGTGTAGTACTGCGCATAGTAGTAAAGCGTCGCGGGCGTGTACAAGTGTGTAAGTTCGTCAGTGGAGAGATTTTCGTTTTCTTGTTCATTAATGAAATCGGACTGTTGCCGTGAACTCCGATCCCACATCGTGGTCCCTTTGAAGGTGGTGTCAGATATGGTGGCGATGCTGCATTTGTTATGGCAGTCATCATCCTGACGAAGGCACGCGCAAATCTTATGATTAAGAGGCGTGTAGTCAAATCCGAAGCGCCCGTCCACGGTTTTGGTAAGTGTGAACTTGTCAATGTAAAGTGGGACCTGAATGCAAACCTTCCGACCACGACGAAGGCGAATGTTTTCGGTGAGGTTAACGAAGCGTGGGTGCTCAGCATTGATACAAACATCTGGAACAAAGAGAGAATTCGAATGCGGTGATTCTGTGCTGTCAGATGTTGTAAATTTGCCAACGCCAAATAGAGGGAAGGTTACAAAGGTCGTCCCAAACGTTCCAGGGCCTGCCTCTTCGTCAATAAGATCGTAACGACGCTGCATATTCTGTTGCACTGAGCATAGGCTCTCCTTCGACATATTGTATGGTTCCTTCGGAATACTCTCCAACATATAACTCGCATACTCCGGGTTCCAAACCGCATGGTTATCCTCGCGTTTACTTATCCGAGACATCGTCCCAGCTGCATCGAGCTTCAAAACAACTTCACCATTTTCAGCGTGTATAATCTGGTGCTCAATCTCCTCACCCCACAAAAATGGGCTGTTGTCAATATCCTTTTTGTTCCTGTAGACGGCGAGGAACTGCTGAATACCATGTGCACTGACGTGAGGAATGGCCCTGTTGTTGCTGTCTGTACCCCACCGCATGGGATTACCTCCAGTCGTAAGTAAACCCATCTTTAATCAACGTCCAATGTGATGTGGGCAGAAACTGAAAAGCTTTAAATTTGGAGGATGGAAAAAAAAAATTTGATTTACCTTGGTCGTACTATGTGATGCTTAAAACATCAGGCTTTGGAAAAAAAGGAAAAGAAAAGAAGAAAGCAACTGTCTCAACCAAGTAAAACAAAAGCTCTTTTTTATTCCTCTGATTCACCATTGAAAATATATAAAGAGCTTAGTTACTATGAAAGGGTTGAAAAAGAGTGTTACGCAAAATCCATCAAATATTGTTTTACTGGACAAAATACGTCCTTTGCGAAAGCATGAGGATACTTTAACTGATATGCGAACATCATGAAATCAAAAGTGAGCTGCATATGCTTAAGCATGATCTCTGTTCTCCCTATGGCTCAAACATCACTCCTCATGTCATGCCTATTCAGGGAAAGGGAGAAGTAATATCAGAACGATAGATAAGATTTTTTTACCTATGAGGAATCCGTACCCTACGATGCATTGAGCACAGTGTAGACAGCCTTCAACCCCTTACGAAAATTGATATTGAAGTCAAACGAGCTGACCTTATTTCGGGTGATCCATTTGTTTCTCGCAATGGCAAAGATAGCAATGATCGCGAGCTCCTCAGTTGTTAGTTCAAGTATTTCCGTACTAACCTATCAATAAAAATCTGACTTAAAAGGACTAGCCCCAGTAGCAAGTTTTCCTGAGCATGGTAAGTCGCATTTCGAAATCGGATAACGTTCTTGCATTTGGCTAGAAAACTAAAAAAAAATCCCCGTACGTGTCACCCTGCTTTTTGAGGAATTTAAAGCCCGATGAATGTTCACAATTACAAGATAACATCAGTGGCAGCGGTTTGCCACAGCACCATGAGAGGAGTTGTGGAATCTACATCATCTCTAATAGCTTTAAATTCCGAAATTACTGACCAAGCTTCGCATATGATCTAGCACTAACCAATTCACTCTGTAACTCCTCGAGTGTATGGGCGCTCTTGAACTGTATGAAACACTTTAAATACTTGGGATATGATGAGTAAAGAATAAAAAGGGTTAATTTCACGTGTGTTATAGGACATGGCACTCTTTTTGATGTCCATCGCAATTAATTGCATCTTCAGTCCCTTCGGGGGTCCGAAAGCGGGCGCTACCTGGGGTCGATCTAGCGTGTGAAGAAACGCTAGGTGGAATTTCACCTCTTTGGCGAGCTATGTACTTTCCATCTAGTTGAACCTCACTCGGTTCTTTTCACCGAGCTGGGGATTATTGATACAGCTGCGCGGTTTCCAGAACAGAGGAAAACGATATCTATAACCAACCGGCTGCAGACCAGATTCTCAGCATCATAAGACTTTATATCTTGAAAGCAGCTGCCGCATTCACTTCGCATACACACATGCGCACTACAGTACTAATCCGATAAAAACATACGCTGAAATCGCCATAAAACGCCGAAAAGAGCTCTGTCATACCATAAGACACCATGATACACCGTAATCTGCACGTGGTCAGCCCACTACTACTATCCACGAAGAGACATAAATTTTCTGGGCAAGTCTCACGATACGGCAGGCCTACATCCTTTGGTAAACCAAACATAAACATGTCCGTTTCTTCTGAGGAGGAACTATCGCTCAGGCCCATGCTATGGGCCGTCATTTATCGATCCACCTTTTCGAAAGTAACCACAAAGACTAAAACTATCAAGCCTTAAATTAGCAGACCTAGGGTTCCCTGAAGACGCTCCGCCACGACTGTTCTCTTTTTTAATAAATGTTTGCGTCTTCACCGCCTGATTCTACTTCTCCAACGCGCGACGCAACGCGTCTTGCACTACGGGGCCAAGACATCTTCAGGTATCATCCCCTTATCGAACTATAATCCCCTTAGCAGCTAAACGTAGCAGTGTAACCGTCCTCATAATGGACAGCTTCCCTGTGTTTCGTTTTATTGATACTTACCCTTGAGCATTTGTCTTGCTTATAGCATTGATCCCTGAAAAAGGTGTTGGCAAATCTCTTTTAAAATATAGAAATAATGAAATGAGAAAAAAAACCTTAAGGCTCTAGCAACACAGCAATTTATTAAGAGGGAAATTCCGCATAGCACGGGGAAAATAGTGCAACCAAAGAAATGTGTATCTGTGTGCATATATGTATAAATATATATATATATGCATATGCTAAACCACGCTAATTACATACGTAAACCATTTACATCCACTTTGCTACACCTCCTTGTACATAAATGAAGTCGTTGAATCGACATGAACTCATTTAGAATATAAAAAATGCCTGGTGGGCATGTGTTTTCCATTAAATCAATTAAACACTTTTTCCCCTTTCCTCCAACTTTTAGAATGAAGAATTTTAATGGGCACCGCGCACAAAAAAGAATTTATATGTACATTTATCCCTGTCGTGTGTCATGGTGGTGGTGCCACGCAGACTCCATGACGCGTCCTCCTCCAAAGCATCCAGGACGGTAACGAACAGCTGAGACTTACCAATGTCGTCGCTAGCAAACTGAGAGCGAATTTCCCCATACCAGTGAGGCGGATCCTCTTTTCTCACCATCGAGAAGGGTACTTTCCCTGTATTAGTGGTGGAGCAGGAATTTGGTAGCTTTTTATTAAGTCGTTCAATCGTGCTCTCTTTGACGGGTCCGAAAATTGCAATCGATGGAGGATTGCAGGTGATATTCACGATCAAATTCATTTCAGCCATGGTGAGGAATCCTGGTGTTTGCTTTTTTACTTGAAATTTTTTATTCAAATAAGGAGATTAAGTTTACGATAGTAATCGGTTGCTATGGTTATTCCTTTCTTCTTGCATTACACAAAATAAAGAAGGATGGAGAAAAAATGATTAAGGGTTACTTGAAGAATGCATCTATGCGTTTCGCGCACGCTACTCTTTGGCTTATTCACATAGGTAATTGGGAAATCGACTGAAAAGATAACAAGCGCATAACATACATATGGCAAAGAATAGGGTATATGTTTCACATAAAGTCCAACCCAGGGCATATCACTAAATCCCGTATAGTGGATCATCCATTTCAGATACAACACCTTTGTCGTCACCTTCCTTCTTTTGTAAAGCTTTCGCTTGCTCCAAAGCTAGGCGATTTAGTTCACTTTGGGTAGGCGCGACGTAGGTACCCTGAATACGCTTGGCCAGCTCTACTAATTCACACTCCTCTGGAAGGAGCGACTTTAGTTGCTTGATTTCGGCAGGAGTCAACACATTATCTCCGTTAGAAATGAGCATCTTAATCAGCTTTTCTTGAGACATCACCAATTTCTGTGAGATGTCTTTCTCTGCAAAAACCTTTAACGCCTCAAGTACCTGCTTCTCTTCAACTAAAGAATCTCGATAGATCTCCTCAGCACAGGAAATAAAGATATTCCAATCAATATTTTTTACTTCCTCCATGGGTACTATTTTGACCTGTCTCTCATTCTCTGCAGATGCTTCAATCGCCTTCTCAACGATGGATTTACGCTTAGGATTGGACTTTAAAGCGGACTTCATAAGACCTCCTTTGCGCTCTCTGGCCTCTTCGCGGCGCCTCTCCTTTTCACGCTTTAGCTCCTCCTCACGACGCCATTGCTCCAGGCGCACAATAGGTTCCTCCATGAGTGATTTTAGCCGGTCCATGTCAGCTTGATTTGGATTCATACCCATTCCTCGCAAAATAGTGGTGCAATCGAGAAAGGACACTAATTTTTCTTTGTTCTGCAACATATTGAAAATAAACTCCGCTTCGTTGCAGACGTCACTCGTCAACACAGATGGAACATAAACAGGTGTAGATGGGTTCATTTTCACTTTGCTAATATACTAACCTTTTTAGAGACATCCGACAGTAATAAGGAAATGGACTAAAGATAATAGCAATAATTTCTAAAAAAGGGATGAAGAGATAAGCTAAATAATGATATATTAGTACCAAATCACGAAAATTGCATGACAAAATATTGAACCTATCTGTAGATACAATAGGCTACCCTTGTTGGTCAACCAAAGATATAAGAAAACTAGATCCATGTGATACTTTAGTGACGAAAATGGAAAACGGGTGTTCAAATCTTTTCTGAAGTTCGCATTCAACAAAAAAAATCGAAATTGGTTAGGTATGGTCAAACTCAGCTTGACAAGAGTAAAAAAAGGACGTAATGGAAACCACTGATCTGTATGTGCAGCCACTTGCGGGCACCATTTACTTCATCCAGCGAAGCGCTGCTAGAAGCTATGCATATCACATCATTTTCCATAGGGAACATGCTCTCGCTATAGGGGTCATACTCGGCCTGCGCCTGTTCACTCCTATAGTACGTTTTCAAGCACCAGAAGGGTAGCTATAAAAGATAACATACCCAAAACTCACCTCAAACATGTCTCTGTTGTTGGTCTGGTTGACAAAGACATTGCACTATATACTAGTTCAAGAGGAGTAAAAGATCGAAGCCACTCAGGATCCCTTCTTAGCTCAGAGATGTGAGCCCTAACATCACGAAAAAGCTAGATTTCGCTAAGGGTAGTGGCGACGAAAAATCTCTACTATCTTATTCAAACAGTACTCTCTGAAGCATAAATCGGGGAGATATAGAACAAATACACAGAGGCTGAAGAGTACGTCAGAAAAGGGATAACAACGTTTGTTGTCATCGGATTTTGTAAAGAACCCCTTCACATAGCTCTCTTGTTAGAGACAGTGCATTTCTGAAGCCACGACTTCAAATAAACCTTCCATTCAGCTATGGTTAAAATGGGTTTCCCTGTAACAAAAGAAAACCATTTCGATTTGCATCCACAAGAATCAACTATGTGTATCCCCTTGGTTCAAGGAACAAACAAATCGAATATACCGCGAAGGGTTTCACATTTCGCTTTTGTCAAACATTGTGCAGTGACAAAGCAAAAATAATAACCCTAACCTAAATTCATGTTTCTTAAGAATAAGGCAAAAAAAAAATGTAAGTTGTGCTAAGCAACGACCTTCTGAGTTCTTTTTCTAATCTCAAAACAAGAATCAATTTTACTCCTGTTATAATAACATTTGCGGTAGTAGATACTTGGAGCCTCTTAGTTACGATCAACTGTACTTGACTATGTAATTAATAAACGCGTCACATCTAGTGAATCGTTGCAAGCCAGAGAAATCTAGACATTACGAAACCTCCCTCCCGATAAGTTTAATCTAACGAGAACCGCCTGGACTGGTGTTGATAGAACAATAGGCCCAATAACAGGTAATGATTCAAGCACACGTGCGATCATGGGAAAAAAGTTGCCAAAAAGATTCAATGCTCCGAACCCTTGGATGAGCAGTCCTAGAAAACACCACCCGAATAGTACGAGAAGGATACCAACAAAGAAGCAGGTGGACGCCCGGCGACGTGCAAGGAAGAAGTTTCTGAAACGACGGGGGCCCATGACCAGTGCTACACCTACCACAAAAAGAATGTTTCCCATGGTTAAAAGGACACTATCTAGGAACATTAGGAAGCCTAAAACTGTGAAGAAGAAGCCAAGACCAGTGAGTCCCACACCAATCTTGGTGATGTCATTCCAGCGATAGAGCGAATCCATTAGGAGGCCTAAAAGGGTTGTCTACTATTAAAAAAAAAAAGTTTATCAATGTGGACAATAAGGGATACACTTTTAATATTCGAGAAAAAGTAGGACTCAAAAAAGATGCTCACAATTTGAGAAAATGATAAATCATCAAAGCATTGAAACAAAAAAATGCGAATAAATCAATCTTTAGATTTACTAACATGACGCATGCAAGGCGGTAAACCAATGAAAGGCGACATACCTTAAACACCTTACTTCATTGCAGCCATCTATTTTCTGAAACAAATTCATCCTTATCCGAAATTATTTAATCCTTTGCAGGGTAACCGATTATTAAAAGTTTAATAAATATATACATACATATATATATATATATATATATGTATATGTATATATTTATTAAGTTATTAAAAGTTTCATGCGAAGCACAATCCCACCCTTCCTAAGCGGCACTGCGTGGGCGCTTGGCAGCCTTCGGTTTTTTGCTGCGAGAATCCGCAACGGACTCCAAGGTCACGCGTTGCTCTTCGGACAAACTTTTCTGCTTTTGTGCAAACAATTCAACACGCTGCTGTCGCAAAGACCGGTAATATGTGTCAAGGGGGCTACTTTGGCTCTTGAGCTCATCCTCAAACTGCTTTACAGATGACAAATCACATGGACCAAAAGTAACTGCGTCACGCTTTGATGTAATCTTCTGTGAAGTGCTCTGTATGTGGCGTAGTAATGCGCTAATTTGAGAGTGAATCTTGGGGACCTTCACCTCAGGAAGAAGCTTCCGCAGCGTACTTCCCAAAGCCCAGAACGTTTCGGAAAACCCGATGGTGTGACTGTGAGTAGCCAAGTGCTCCGTGAGAAGGTAAAGGACCTCAGTCCAAACCGCCCGGTGGTATACATTGCTGCGAGCTTGAGACTTCTTTACCCGTATTGTGTACTGCAGCTCGACCGGCTCTGTGCTGGCAGCCGCATTTGGTGAGTTGGATAGGGCTACGCTGGATGAAGTAAGTATCCGTAGAAGGTAGGGCGCTACTGGTATGTAGGTGGCATTCGCTCGAATGGAAATATGGTTTAGGACCTCAATAATCTGCAAATGCATTGGAAACATGCGGGGAGAAGAGAAGAGGTCCATGAGGCCGATGGCAATCTGAACTACCGGATGAATAAGAGGCCCTAACTGAGACGGCTCCGAATATGTCGACACCACCAAACCCCATGTGCGAAGCGCTAGCAGGTATTGCCAATTAACGACCGCCCGCACGTTGCTTTGACTCTGTTGTTGCAATGCAGCCCTCAGATAGACCGCCAGTTGACGCAAGTACACGAAGGCATGTTGATAGGCCGCCTCCATGTCGGTTCCGTAGAGATCGACGGTGCAGTTTATTAAAAAGGCGATGATGGCTTGATTATGGGCGTTGTATCGATGCCCTGTCTTCACGAGTGCCAAAAAAATACCTTTGAAGGCCGTTGACTGATACATGGAACGAGTACCTGTCGCGCGTGTGGCGATCGCGCGTATGACCATATAGGCTGCAATACGCACGGATTCCTCCGGAACCGTGCAAAGAGAAAGTGAAAACTTAAGAACCGACTTGGTGATGCCCTTCACGTAGTGAAGCAAGGGCACAAAAGTAGTGAGCGCATGCAGCAGACCCACGATTAGCTGTGTGTCTACGTTATCCTCGTTCATAACTGCTGTAAGAGCACGAAGCAGACGCTTGAAGAGGTAGCGCGTCTTATGTGAGCGGAACGCGCCTTTTCCAGTAATCAATGTATTAATGTTTTTACAAACGTGGTTTACCACCAACAACATGGACTGCTTTACTAAAGAAGGGTCCTCGAACTTTCGGGTAGAGCTAGAACGCGGGTTCTCCTTTATTTTGTAGCCCAATTCACGAACGGCAGACACAAATACGTCGATGCATTGTTCAATTTTATTACCAGCCATCAATTGGTCTAGCTCCGACAGGGTGATGCGAGTCGTGCTCCTTGCCTCACCCTCCCCGTTGCGACCGTCATCACCAGAAAAGTCCTGCTGCGACGCCCCCTCATCATCCTTGTCTCCTAGCCCACGATCACCCTCTATATCTTCTTCGTCTGCCTCCGTTTCTGTGTCGCTGCCTTCATCTTCATTTACCAGTTCCACGTCATCATTTCCGAACTGGAGGAGAGTAGGGTCCTCTTCCTCCAGGTAAGAGTAGAATTCTGGGTCAGTTTCCTTAAGACGTTCTAGCTGCTCGACATGCTCCTCCTCTTCATGACGAGCCTCCTTCTCTGTGCGCTGCTTCTTTCGTTCTAGTCTTTCCTTCTTTTCCTTTCTGGCTTTAGAAGTCTTGCGTCGAGTTTCAATCACATCTGCTAAGTGTTTCCTGGCGTATTTCTTGAATGATTTTTTAACCTTATTATTCGCCATTTAGCGTAAAGAAGAATGATGGATACTTGACCACGATGGGAACAGGAAGAATAAACAGACGAGCCTGCTGAATAGCTAATGTGTCGCTGATTTCAAAAAGAAGAAGAAAAGGGACTAAGGATCACAAAAGGTGCGTTTCTGAAGTTATTAAAAGGTAGAGAACTATATGAGGAAAGAGCCAGAGAAGGTTTATAATACAGTTCAATTAAAGAACGATAAAAATATATTATGCCACCCATACTGAAAGGTAGAGGTTGCAGCGATAATATCCGAGATGGATCTCACTTTTTGTGCCACAAAACAGTACAACAAGTGCAACATATTTCTGTTAGTGACGAGAATACAGTATAAGTATTAAGAAAAAAAAATAAAAGAAGGTTGTCTGAGACATTTTTCATTCTATAGTAGACAAGCAAAAAACGAAAAAAATGAGACCCTTTTCACGCCACATGACAGCCATGACAGTTTTCAAATTTTACAACATTTCTACTGCCACGAGAAACACCATCATGCATCCTTTGGGGGGATTTATTAGTACCCTTCAAATAAGTAGCAGGGTTGGAAGTCCTCCAGGGTGTCGCTTGCTGCTTAGTGAAATCAGTTTTAGCCTCTTTAGAAGGAACGTTCGTCTCGTTTACTGTTGCTGTTGAGCTGGCTTGCACATTGAGACTGTACAAACTTGCTATATTGCCACCCAAAGGTTGTTGACTCATCGCCCTTTGATCCGAAGCACCAATAACATGAGCTTTATTAGGTATACCATCATCCGGTATGATGAACGCAGGCTTGGTCGCATTGCCACAGTCATCCACATTCGCAAAAGTGGGAGCCTTCGATGATGCAGAGGAGGAAGATGAATTGGTTCGAAGTGTGTTTGCTCGCCTCAACATATTATCTCCTTGAGTTGGCATCTTTTCTGAAAAACTGCCCGACAGACTACTGTCATAATATTCATCACCATGTGTGTCCTGGGCCTTGGATTGAGGACTCATGATGATGTCAACGTTGAATGCATTGGCCTTGTCTCTGGCATTGTCCGTATTTTCTGAGTGGCACGAAAGGCTGTCATTGCATGGTGTGTCTCGACCACTGGCACTGCTGCGACTACCTACACGGCGCCATGTCGCCGCCTCCTGCTCACCCTGCAGCGCAATAAGCCACTGAAGCGCAGCTTCCTTCACATACGATGGTGAAGAAGTCGCTACACACAACACTATTGCTATGGGCAACAGCGACTCCAATGACAAGTAGCCTCCACAGCACTCCAGCTTGTTGTCCCTCTCTGTGATCACCTTCATCACCTCCCCGTTGACCTCAAAGAACGCAAGAACGTAAAGCATATGGCCTTGTGCATCGAATTCTTGCCCATCCCATGCCGCACAATTCCTACAAGGCACGCGATGCAAACGAACAAACGGTGGAATGCTCGCATCTACCATGGACAGCCCCATTGAAAGGTCACCCACATCCAGAAACGCAAGCGAGTTGTCGTCCGCTGCCCGAGGTGCTAGGCACGCCATGATGGACAAATACCCAATCACTTGAATCTTTGGAGGAAAAAAAGAATCAAAGTATTCATCGTAGCCCACATTGATCTGTGGTAAGTTTCCTAAGATACGGCTAACTAGCCACCCCACCACCCGTTTCGTATCCTTTGCCTTCAAAGCCTTATCGCGGCTAAAGTTATCGGACACAATGTTCTGGTGCACTGAGTTGTTGCTTGACAGAACGGCACTAGCATGACTCTGTTGTTTAAGTTTCTCTTCTAAGACAGTGATCCGATGAAGGTGAGCCTGAACGGCAAGCTTCGTGTTGTCCCTCTCTTCTCGGACCTGCTGATGCAACCGCGCTAACTCCTCTATGAGCTCCTGGTGTTCGCTGTGCGCTATGGCGCTGACGTCGCCAGGTCCACCAGGTTGTGGGACGAGTGTATGTATCCTCTTGAGGCGTTGCGTGTAACGTAGGGTGCTGAGAGTCTCACGGAAAAATTCAGGGGAGGGGTGCACACATGCCAGGAAGGTTGTGAGGGATGCACCGCACAGATACCGCTGCAGTAGCACAGTAAGCATAGTATCTCTAAAATTCACATAAGATCGGCTACTATCTTCTCTGACTCGTTGCGTGCTCAGAGCCTCAAGAACTGTACTCAGGCGCGACAGAGATTTGTTAATGCTGATGCTCTCCTTGTTAAGCTTCGGAGAAAAGAGAGTTTGCCGCTCGCTTCCAGCTAAATCAACGAAGCAAACACGTACGGCTTTACTTTTAATGGTAAAAACAGCGTGACTCCGACTGCTACGTGTGTTGCGGTCCGTTGCCGCAGTGCGCCTGGAGCGCATTCCATATTTGGTCACCGCCTCCCACTGCGCGAGAGAGACGATAGAACGAGTGAAAAGGTTCTCCACGACAATTGTTGTGCCCTGGGGCCCGTAATGTCGCCGGATTTGTCGCACCTTTCCATCAGCTAGCAAATCATACACTTCCTCCATGTACACTTCCACCATCGAAATCTCTACGATACCACTTTTTCGAATTAATTCTTCCACGCAAAGCGTCAAAATGCCAGTCTCACCATTGCCTCCAGCGATGGTGTGGGTCTTACCACTGTTTGTATGGCCATAAGCCAAAAAGCATAGCGTTTCCGGGTGCTCAATGGTAGCGGAGCTCAATTTGGGAAGCAGTAATCTCTCAAAAATGGCCCTATTCGAGAGCTCCTGGCCTAACAAAACATCTTCATGGTAGCGTCTCGCTTCGGTGGCTGAGTAGACTTCAGTTCCACGAACAGATACAAAACCTTTTTCCTCATCCAAGAAAACACAATTCTCGGTATCTGAAGGGGTACGCCGCACGCGAACCGCGACTTGAACACGCTGATGCATCTATGATCAAAAAGGTAATGAAATCTATTCTACGCAATCATTTAATGTTGCCTAATGATTCAATCCTACCTGTTGTTAAATGTTTCTCAAAATAATATGAGTATTTTAAAAAAATGAAAAAAGGATAACAAATGATAACATTGGGAATGATGAGAGACAAAAATAAGCATCACAAGAGTCAAATCATTCGGTTATACGAAGTAATAATAATACACACAATAACTTTACACTATACCGCAACCATGTCTCTCTTAAATGAATCATATCAACATATTAGTAACAATTAAGCTTGTCTAAGTGGTGGATATTAATTTCACTCGGTCATTGTATAGATATGCAACTCCACGAATCTAAAAGATAATAAAACAGTCAAAAATGCGGGGCACTACACCCTCGAATAATTTCGAATCTCAAGACACTATCCCACGTAAATGCATTATATTTTTTTGATAATTGTTAAAATGAATGATAGAAAAAGTAAGAAAAAGGCTGCCTTCATCGTTTATAGTAAACAAAAGTACTAATAATCAACCGAGAGAACAACAACAGAAGGAAAAGATGCATATCATTCCCTATCAGTTGACCTCCTAAACCAAATCAAGAGGAATCACACTTCAGATAAATGAAGCAAAACGCATGTGAAGAAACTGACCTTCTAGTACGCTAAGAGGTTTTACAGTCAAATGCATCTACTTCCTCCTCCGTTTATAGGAACGCCATCAGACAGTAGCGTCTCTCTCGAGCAAAACGTAGAGTATTTAATCACGTAGAGACAGCTTTCGGGTCGCAAAAACAGCCAACATTGTGAGCGCCGCCGCCAGCGTCAATGTATAGATCACCTTCCGGTTGGAGGGATACGTGGAGACAGTGTTTGTGGCTATACATTTTACGTCGTACGTGGACTCTTTGCCATTAAGGAAATATGGCCGGCAGGTGGATCGGCCAATTCCATTCTGCATCAAACTTGCGGCCTCAGCAGCGCTCACATCAAGATATTCAACACGTATCGTAGATAGATGGCCGGAAGATAAGCTCAAGTCTGCATAAATGTACATGCTGTCGCTGTGAGAAGAAATGTTTAGCGTCGCATTTGCTCCTCCCCCAGCCGACCTGAACAGCAGTCCGTATGTTTTGGAAAAGACGATGGTGAGCTCCTTTACACGTAAACGGTAAAGTATATAGCGCCCAGGATCCACTGACGAATTCAATGCTACGGTAAAATTTCCTTCTAATTTATCATCTTTCCTAGAAAGTTCTATTACCCCCTCTGCACCAGAGGCTTTAACAGAGATTGGAATACTCATTACAGAACTTTCGTCTTGGTCCTTTCCCTGAACAAACACAAAGCAACTGTTAGCTCTGATTGCTCTGTGCTGCTTTTCGTTGTTTTTGAACTTGTTTGTGGTCCTTGTCGTGTACCTGAATTGCATATATAGAAAAGTAAAATAAGGTTTTAAAGTGAAAATATGCCAACGAAAGTTCAAGTCGCAATAGCTCATATGTAGCATTTGGTGAATGACTAAGTCGTTCAGTCAACTTTGATAAATGGAAAAGAGATTTGCATGATTTGCAAGAAATGTGAAACCATGCGATACCTTTAGAAGGAAAAAAAGTTTTTCCCCACTTTCAGGATACGCAGCTGTAAAAACAGACATAAAAAAATACGTTAAATCGTATGCAAATATATATATATATATATATCGTACGTCAGTCAATTTTCCTCCTTATCATCGTTGAATGGGTTCCATTCGTACCATATCAAAACTATAACCGCATCGAATCAAAGACACTGAGAAGCTTCTGATAATGCAAAAAAAAAAACATAGCATTGGCTCTAGACGATGGTGACGAAGGTTCAAGAAGAGGAAAGTGAAGAATGTACCACCACAGACACTTCTACAGGGAAATAGTTCAGATGAAGAATTCGAAATTCGAGTCGGCTATGATCAATGGTAGTAGAATTGGTTAATGAGGCCATAGCGCGAGAGAGAATCTTCCGCAAATCATCAGCAAATACTACTAGTGTAAACGAAATTCGAGGACCTCCAGATGCCACCTCCCTGGGAAGCGCCCTCTACGAAACCAACACATGGAAAACGAAACAAGAATGGTTGAAAAGGGGCAATAACTCTTTCAAATCAAGGCAGGCTATTGACTCCCACAGCTCGCTGTTTCTCCCCCCACACACACACGTTGCGTGGGGTCGCTGCCTTACACATATCTTACTCAGTTATAGGAAAGACATTCTACCATCAAAAATTTAAAAGGATGCTAACGCTAAAATTAATAAATAATCTGAAATAAAAACCCAAACTTAATTTTGGCCTAATTATCTACGGAATTTTAGGAAAGTAAAAAATAAACTACTTTTTGTTTTCTAATTTGGGCCCCCGATTCGCTTCAATGCGTCGATAATAAGACCCCAAAACTTGTCAAAGTCAAGTTTAACTCCAAATTGCGTGTGACAGTCTTCGGAAGGAGGCGCACGGACGTCTGGCACCGACATGCCCCTTGTCAGCGCCCCAGCTAGCTCCACATCCAAGGGGGCACGCCTTGTCGTTATCACAGATGGATCAATCACGTACGCAACAGCGCATGGGTCATGTACCACTGGGTAAGAATTCGTTCTCTGGACTTGCCCTTTCCCGTAGAATCTCAGAATGTCCGTGATAAATTTTGATAGCTTTGTGTCAAGTGCCGTGATACGGTCCGCCACATCTGTCGTCATTTGCGTTTGTGATGTGAGATTCAGACCCAACATAGTCAGGGGCCACTTCTCGTTGAACACAATGCGCGCTGCCTCAGGATCGGTGCGCATGTTGAACTCTGCAGCAGGAGTGACATTTCCAGTTCCGCAGCTTCCTCCCATCAGCACAATCTCCTTCACACGCTCAACAATACGCGGCTCCATCCTCACAGCCATAGCAATATTGGTGAGAGGACCCACCGGAACCAGGGTCACAGTCTTGGGCTCGTGCGACATGATCGTGTCGATGATAACGTTAACCGCGTGGCGAGGATCCAACGGGGTGTGGACCTCGTCCGGTAGCTGCGCACACCCCAGACCCGTACCGCCATGGACGTAGTCAGCGATTTTCAGCGACTCCAACAACGGCCGTACACAGCCGGCGGCGATCGGAACTCCCGTGATTCCAGCCATGTCAGCCACAATGCGAGCATTGTGTGTGACAGTGTCCAGTGTGTGATTCCCCGCAACAGTTGTAATGGCCAAGAGCTTGATCTCTGGATTACCATGCGCAAGGAGCATGGCAACAGCATCGTCAATACCAGGATCACAATCCAGAATGATTTTGCGCGGCATCTCTCCTTTATTATTCTTAAGCGTAGAAATGGTAGGCTGAAAACTAATCCACTTAACGAGAGAAAAAAGATGATAGTAATGAGCAATTTTGTGCAGATTTAAAAAGTCCCTGTTCCACAATCCTCCTATACAAATAACCACAAACTGACGTTTCTCAGTGACTATAAAAGTAAGCCATATTGTCGAGTTGAAAAGCTGATAACTCTCCTCCAATATGTCTTACGACAATAAAAGCATTCTCCCCCACTTGCTTCCCAAAGCCAAATTACTAGGAACGCTATTCGACAACTGAACGCCATGCCATGATAATTAAAAGTTTAAAGTAGATATAGAAGTACATAAAAGGCGTGATTAAGTGTTGAAAACACTGTATGAACATTCCCAACATATTCCGCCTATTTTTATGATATACCAACGAATTCGGCTATGGACCCTGACGAAAATCAAATTCTTTACTAGAGTATGTCCCATACATTAAGTACGTGAGCTGGATGAGTTAGCCACAAATTGGTTAAAGAATCCTTATAGCATTGTATGAACACGACCAACAGGCGGAAAAGCGACAGCATAGAAAAAAGAAGGCGAATTTTCGATTTAGCATATAGCGGCTTCCTGATTATCTATAAATACAGAATTTTGCTTGTGTCTGGAGAACGACAGCACATTAGTAATACATCATGTGAAATTTGTGGATGTAATAGAATATCACAAATTTCAGTATAACAAAGCCCCCTAGCAAGAACATTCTAGCACCACCTCTACCAGCAAAAATAACTTCATGTTGTGACAGTGTGTCTGGGAGCTCACACTGAAAGTGGATAATTCTACTGTTTTATTTATCGATAAAGCTCTCTTACTCCGTAATTGTGCGACTCAGACTCCACGTTACCATGCATAAAGGCATAATGGTTGACACACCTTAATACAGAATAGACTAGCTTCTTTCAGAAGAAGTATTAGTATTGTTTTCAAAAAAGACAGATAATCGAATACACCAATATCCACACTTTGGTGAAAAAAAAATCGAATTCAGTTTATAAAAAAAACTGAAAAATAAAAATATCTAGTACACAATGGTTAGTAAATAGAGACACGGCTCTAAGACTTATAGAAAACGAAGAGGAAAGATATCCCCATACCTAAAATCATTGAAGATATAGAAATTAAAATGAGAAAACAACCACCTTTCAGTTTTGGTATGCGTATTTTGCGTAGTTTTCGCAGATCCAGACTCATTTAAACTGGCAGAAAGGAAACCTCTTTACCTCTCTCTCACCCTCCCCCCAGTAACGTGGAAAAGACAACTAATGGAAGCGAACAAGCGAAACTCCTTCTACTTGGAATTTTTGTTCTCTAAATTAAACCCATTAGTCAAGGACTTAAACACGCTTACTGGTCCGATCTGCAAGGCTAAAACTATGCCATATGAGCATGGTATACGTTGGATCATCATCAACAGCGGCAGAAATCATGTACCAAAAGTAAGCAAAGAGCTCATAGCTTAGTGAAGCTTCATCGAGCTCATCTAAGTATTCTTCTAAAGCCTTCTTGCAATTCTCCGCAGCACGTCTCAATGTGCTACTTTCAATCTTGCTTGTCTGAAAACGACTAGTCATGTCACTCGCGAGCACACTCAGACCACCTCGGTGGGTACTGAGCCTCTCAAAAAGCTTTCGTATAATAGCCTCGCGGCTGGGAGGCAACGGAACACATAGAACAAATATTAAATCCACACGCGTGGGGGCTTTCAGCCGCAGCCATTCCAGATTCAGATCGGTGACAGTTTCGGGTACGCCACTCTCGCGCAGAGCCCGTACGTACGCCTCGATCGGTACTGGCTGAACGCCCCACTCTTGGAGGCGCGCGTACAGCTGTGTGAAACATAGCACGTTTCCATTTGCTGCCCGTAATATATATTGGGTCACAGCTCCCTTGATAATATAGAGCATGGAACTGTTGACTGCAGGGAAGTACTGCCGAAACATCCGAACCACCTGACGCACACTCAGCGATGGAGCGTGCACATCCTTTAAATAGTGATATAGACGATCGGACTGCTCTCGTGAGAAGCCGACTCCAATGCTCTGGCATACCTCGTAAAACTCCTGGCTTATGAGTCCTCCCGATAAGTGTGCGAAGTCCAAGTCACCTGTAGACATGCTACCATCACCACACTCTACAGCGCTTCGTTTAGGTAGTGCATTGCGCAGTGCTTGAATAAGAGCGATGGATCCTGTTGCACTGCCTTTTGCTGGCTCCTTGGTGGCCTCTGCAACCTGTGCCGCCAAGATGGGATATTCTATTGTAGAGGGAATCTGAACAGAAAAGAGAAAACCATGAAGTAAGGGGGCATCCAATCCCTCACCTGTATCAGGCTCTACGCAGTACCTCAACAAGAAAAGTGCCTCGGATGCACTAAATCCACACGAATCGGTCAGAAATTTCCTAGCCAGCTCTGGGTTTACTAGTTGAATTGATTGAGTATGCGCCGCTTCGCGTACCTGCTGTTCAAACCTACTTACATCTTTACTACTAAATATCACAGATCGAGCCTTGCGAACCAAAAACTGCACCTGCCACGCCGCCCTCGGGATGAGCTGACGAAGCTCAAAAAAAACTTCAACCGGATCTATTGTACTTTTTGGTCCTCCATCCACACCATCGCCCTCCGCTAAGGGCAACATGTGCAACAGTATCCTCAGCTCCATATCCGATACTGCGAAGACAGGGAAAATGGGGCGCAGGAGTGTCTGCATTGAGTGCATGTCAAGATGCTCGCGACCCGGCTCCTTATACCGACTATCAACGGATTCGAATAGGGCCGAAATACGCCATTTGTCGACATCAGACGTGCCTGTTGCTAAATATTTTACAATTTTGGCATGAAGTCTTAAGAGAAACTCCGGATCCCGTAAAAGTTTTTCTGAAGTAGAATCCAAATCTAACATAATCTAAATGAAAGGATGATAATACTGCAGATGCGAGTGATCGCATAAATAGGCTTCTTTAATACATAAAAGGGCATAATATGACAGAGGAATATGTTTGTATAGAAAATATAATCATTTGCATCATGAGTGCATTACCAGGATACTCAAATAGAAGAAAAAGAAGAAGCTAAGGCAGTGGGTTAAGTTCAATTTTAATTGTAGTAGTTTTTTTTTTGAAATAGAAATAAGCAGAAAGAATAGAAATGAAATTCAATCCAATATTGACCCCAAAAAAATATATAGATAATTAGTCTCTCTCCACGATTCTTCATGCAGCAAAGCGCACGTCCTATTCGGTTTGTCGCCCCATAAATGCTCTGCCATAGTTTTGCATCACTTTAATCAGCCTTGTTAACCCCAAAAAATGGCCACCTCTGTGGCATCTCTCTATAGACTTCCAGCAAATGCAACCGTAAACGAGTGCACTTGTCTCATATTTAAAAATAGATACAAGAATTTTGAACAAAAAGCTCAATAAATGTAAGTTTATCAACTACAATTCATTTAACACATAATAAGAAATGTTGTACCCTTTCCGTGCATTACTAGTCATCAACATCTAGTGAGATTTATCACACTTCTCATATTCTAGTACTTGTGAAAACTAGTAGAAAAAAGATAGAAAACATAATAGCTTATTGCTACGCATTGTCATTCTTTTCGCTTTAAAGTAAAATCATGAAGGGAATGGATAACAGTATGAAGAAGGAATCAATGAAACATTGTATCACAAAAAAAAGAAGAGGGCACCTGTCTACTTAAGATTCAGGTCTGTTAAAAATAAACCAAATTGTGTAGCCAAACTAAAGTTATTGATTAAGTAAAAGTGCTTTTTGTTTGAGGTGAAAATCGGCACGCCAGGCCAGTTATTAGGGTTCCTATCATGCTGATCCCTTTCACCATAAAGGTTAAGTAATCTTGTAAATATATCACCTGTAACTCAAAAGTGAACGGCTTCCGCATTGTCGAGGAAATAATAGGAGTAAACGCAGAGGTTATATTATTTGGGTATGTTCATAGCTAAAATTCACACAAATTGTGTGAAGCAGCACAATGCAACGTGAATGTCACTTCGGACTGGATACTTGTGGATTTACCGACTAGTTGTACGGATCTGTGCAGGAGGAGTTGCAACACCGGAATCGGCGAATAAATGAAAATCGTCCCACATAAATGATGCATACCGGTCCTCGTTAAACCATCCTTCTCAAAAACATTTAACCCTATCGTTATTCCTGTGACCGTTATAACAAATGTGAAGTTTCAAAACGCTGAGAGTAGTCATACAGCTGGTAGAACTCACCAATGCTACAACTCTACATAAGTGCCGAAAGTTTTCGGCTGCCGCAGTCACATTCCTCTTAGCGAAGTTAGTCTACTGGTTTCCTACAAAAATTATAGATGGTGAAGCTGATAAACCCACCATACATGAGGATTGCACAACGGACCTGCGGTAGTGCGAAGGATTTTTCTTAAAAGGTAAAGAAAAGGACGCGCTTAGACATTAAATTGATGAGTCACGCGGAGAAGCAGAATATAGTATGTATAAAAGCTGAGATGTAAAAAACGAGAAAAATTTCGCTGTTGAACAATAAGAGATATTATAACGCAACAAATACTCACTTTAAGATAAGAAAGGGATATGTGAAACAAAGACAAAAGTCCAACGAGCTAGCAATACCATTGGGCCCTCTGATGTCCTTCAGCTATAAAGGGCAGTAGCATTGCTGCCATAATAGCCTACCTACAAAATGCTGATCCGAAGTACGTGTTGGAGCTACTTAAACCATACGCAGTTCAATAAAAAGCCCGTCGCCATAGAAACCACACAATAGATTGCTAATCATTAATGAAACCCCAGTGAAGCTTTAATCCATATGAGGAAAAACGAATTCATTAAAAATAAAAACGCTTTTCGAAAGCCTAAAGATTAGAAACCAGTGAAATGATAAAACATTTGCTTCAAGAGCAACAGAGCACGACATAGGAACACTATACACCAGCACAGCATTTTTCTCATCCATCTCGCTAAATTTTAGTCGAGCCGAAACTATCTCAGCCATCGCTTACTTATAGAGTTGGAGAGAAAGGCAAAAAAAAAAGTCCGTAGTACAAAAGAATCTAGCTTTCCCCGCTGAGGGCGATCAAACTTGCCGAACTATATGCAAAGGCTATCTCACTTCAATCATTCATTACTTTGGTTCTCTATCGTGACTTATCAGCAAGCGTACCACCTACAGGTGACCATACGTACGGGTGAGAATGTACTACGCTGGTTCCCCACCGTACCCAAGGGCTGTTAAGGGTGCAATGGGGCCGGCTTACTGCCCGGTTTGCAGTGCAACGAAGTCCCTCCATAGTTATTCCCTTCGGAATTTAGTCGGGTAAAACACGGACGTTCAACAGGAAGTCGATGCTTCCGAGAAGCACTTTTAGACCGAGCCAACAATCGCCGTCCGGGCACGATGGTCTTTCGCGGGGCCCTGCCCGTGGAGGCCTCATGCAAAGCCCCCTGAGCCACCACCGAAGGACCGGCAGTCGGGGGAGCCCCCACAACACCGTGATTGCCGTTGTTCAAGGTGTTTATAGGGGGCACCGCGAAATGTCTTTGCAATGCATTTAAAGAGCCATACATGCGGAATGATTCATGCTCGTTGCTACACCGATATGCTGCCTCGTTTTGCTTCTTTAATAGACGAACTTCAGCTTTGAGTTTTTCGTTCTCTAAGGAAAGTCGCTTGTTCTCCTCATCAGAGCGATCCAAGGCAGCTGCCAGATCAGCGTACTTATTTTTCTGCCCTGCAAAGTATGCATTAGAACTCTCAACCTGCTGTTGTAGAAGCCGCATGGAGTGCATCATTTGCCGCATCTCCTTATCATAGCACATATTCTTTTCAACTTCCTCCTGGAGCCTTTGTCGTAGCCTCTCATTCTCTAGCGCAAACGCGTGAGACTCCTCAGAAGCCTTGGTGCGCTCGTAAATAGTCTCTTCCAGCGTCGCTCTTAGATCCCGTACAATGCAACGCAACTTAATGCTCTCCATTCCAAATGACAGGCCACTCTGGTAATCTGGAGCCGTGTGCACATCACCGCTGCTCACGTTATCATCAATGAGGCAACTATCATCCCCACCAAACAAAAACCTGGAAGGGGTACCGCCGTCGGCGTATGGTGCAGCGTCCATAGTTTTCGCAGAAGATATATACATCTTCTGTTGTGGGGTGCAACTCTTCCACATTAACTTGTTCAGTGCTAAGCATATGTCCCATTCCTCCTTCAGCTTCTCATATTTTTTCTCCGAAGCTTCCAACTCCCTCTGGATGCTTAGGTATGCCTGGTCAGCAGTGCTTGCACTCTCGGCCGCTTTAAGGTCGCTTCTGCTGAAGCTGATATCGTCAATTCGCCTCGCTTCCGTTGTATATTTGAACAGATCCTCCATTTCGCACCGCACTGTACGGTCGACATAACCTAAAAAAGACTCCAGGTGTAGCTGCTCGATCTTATCCCTTAGCAGATCACGCTCCTCCATCATGGACTGTTGCTTACTACCTAGCTTTGCCACGCGCTCATTGCGTTGATTGACCTCGCACGCGCACCTTTCAACCTCAGCAACGAGTCGTGAGTTCTCAGTGCGCAAGTCCTCAATGGTCTTTTCTAACACATCGCGCTGCTCGCGCAGCTCATCGAGGTGCGCGAACAGCCATAAAAATAAGTCCTTCAGTCTGTCCAGGACCCCCTTCATTACAGCAGAATTGCTTTGTTTATCCCTGAGGAGCCCCTCACTGTGCTCCGAGGAGGGCTCTTGTATTTCCGACCGACAGCAATCCGTATGGTGGGGCTGACCGCCCCTGTTCAACATTCGCAGCTCCTTATCATCATCTCGCAGCAACGACTGAGAAACTTCAATTCGTCGCTCCATATGTTCTGGTAATTGTGGGGATGACAATCTCTCTTGCCGGTCATGTCGCCCCCATTCTAGACGGAGATCTTCTTCTAGTGCACAAGTCCTATTGTGCAGTGTGGTTATTACTTCGTTAAAGTCAGTAAAGGCCTGCTCATTGAACCCACTGAAACTAAGGCGCTCCTCTAACCCACATTTCCGCTTCTCTACAACCCTTCGTTTGCTTGCAGTCGCGAACTCTAGAGATTTTTTCGTCATTTCAAAATTATTCTTACCAAGAGAAGCAGTAACTATCAGCAAAACATGCCAGTCTTGCAAGCGCGGCATAAGGTAAGTCATCAGCAATGAGTCACCGTAAGATTTTGGGTCATTGGCATTGGCACCTAGGACGATATAAGAACGCAGCATAGAGAGAGATTTGTTCATGGCGGTTGCTTCATCCAAACCCTTCCCTGCGGCACCTATTTCCTCGACCCGCTCCGAACCTGCCAAGTCTACTAAAGTTACTTTAGCTGTCGATAGTGGCACACCATCTCTGTACTTTGTGATATGCAGCGAGAAAAGGGTATGGGAACGAGAGCTGCGTGCGTTGAGTGCGTGTGTACTGGTGTAACGGTACATTTGAGCAGCCCTTCTTCTATTTTCTGCATCCAATTCGTTCTTTACTATATATTTTGGCTCAAATACAACGGTACCTCGAGGTTTGGGCAGTGGTATACCAAGCAAGTCCTCCTCAGACGACTTAGCTAGCAAGTTGTAACCCTTGTTTCCGTATATTTGTATAAATGATAACTCTACTACGTCCGTACTAACAATTGAGCCAAACACAGCTTTGATCAGTGCTTGTGAAAGAACATTAGCAGTGTGTGTCTTACCGCTACCTATCTGCCCATAGCACAGCACACAAACATTGTAGTCAGCATTCAGCTGCTCTAGGATACGAGGTACCACTTTGGCGCACATATCCATATCTGAAGTATTGGGCCCTATCACGTCGTTGAACTCGAACCTACAAGTGTACCGCCCACACTCATCGCCTTCAATGCTTGGCTCTGTAATGGATATAATTGTACGTGAAGGTGTCTCACCAGTTGCCTGAACATCACCAGTTTGTGCAGTATGAATAAAGCCGCCCGTCGCCTGATCCCTCAGAGAATTAGAGCAATCAGAGTGGCACATGATGTGGGCCGTCTGAGGCGTTGTGGTTTGTAGGGGAGAAAAGGACAAAGTTGAAGAGTTTGGAGCTTCCATAGTGACTTTTTCCCCCCCTGATGCTGTCTCTGGTGACGTAATATCGTATGCAAGATAGACGCCAGGAGCGCGTTTTAGTTTGGGTTTCAGGCGCACCACTACTTGATAGTAGTCCACAGAGCCACTAGTTTGCGGACCGTGTCGCTGCATTTCCTTAAGATTTTGGTGGTGTTCCAATGATGATGATGGTATCGCCGTACTGGAAGGATAATCTCCAGACTTGGGTAAATTAACGGAATAGCCAAATGAACTGCTATTATTGTTTTCATTCCTTTCATCCACCTGAGGAGTCTTTATAGAACCCCCAAGAACATCTTGCGCATGACTCTGAGCATTATCTACAGTGCTAGGTTGAGCCGAAGGATTAAAACCAACCTCGTAATCTACTCCTAGGCTACCACAGCAATTTGACATAACCAAGGTTGTGGGCGACCACACCAGCTGATATTAGTTCTCGACTGGCGTCGGGAGAATCGTATGATTGCCACAAGTTTTCCTTGAATAGAAAACCACAAGAGATGAGAGTTCTGGTATAGGCCTTCTCCAGCCCGTACCTCACTGATGCTGCTTTGATATAAAAATGTGTGAGATCAACAAATATGATGACAATTCGAATGTCAATGCAAATACGAAAAAATGCAATCTTTGGCTTCTCCTACTATTGGTGTGGAACTATTATCTACTCTACGCTGTTGTTTTCTTCAAATAGCCCTAACTTGCTATACCACTAGAAAAAAGGAGCGAAAATACATCTGCACTTAAGTCTTCCCCGTTGTCGCTATGCAGTAATGTGAATAATGACAGAGAATTGTGTTTAATTAAGTTATCATTAAAACTCAAGACTTGATAACTTATTCTTTTCAACAAATAATACTTATGTATAAACAAAGCATACTAGATAAATAACCATACAACATAGGAGCTAAACAAGGAACTTTTTCAAGAAAAACCGCACTGTAGTGTGAATACTCTCTTGTAATGTTCTCATGGAATTCTAGTTATATGAAATTCCGAAAGGAAAATGATAGTACAAGGAAACCCAGAACCAAAACTATTAGCTGCAGAACGCACCCTGAGGGAACATATCAAGATGTATAAATGCTCTTTAGGGACAATACAATGCTATGGTACTACCTTTTAAAAAAACTCCAATCACAACCAATTCGACTTAGTCTATATTTCGATGATTCTCTGCATAAAGAAAATACGCTAATTTATCACCTTTTCTGTGGGAAATAATAACAGGTAAACTTGCTGTAAAACGCACACAGAAAATTTAAAAAAGAAAAAAACTGTTTCACAGTTGAAATTCTAATCAATTATTGTTAAATACTTAACTCAGTAAAAATATTAGTCATATCATCAGTATAAAGGAAAATTCCTCAATTACAAAACCAAAAGAAACTTCACGCAGCACATATGTCATCTATAAAGAATAACAAAAAAATGATACATATATATATATATATATATGTATTGCTTTACCAAAGGATAATATATCAAACAAAGAAAGAATTCTAAAATAGAAAAATCGTTTCAAATATAAGTTGCTATTCTACAAAATTCTTTTTCTTACGTACTAAAAATGTAAAACGTCAACTCATTAATACCTCCGCATTGATATTGAATTAACATTGCAACATAGTTTTAAACGGAATGCTTCGGATCCCTATTCTGCTCCTCCTCAGTCTGGTGGGTAGGCTCAGAAGGACCGACATTACTTTCGTTCGCTTTGGCCTTCTTCTTGGGAGATGCGGAGTCAGTCTCATGGTCATCGCTCGCGTACGGCTTGATGGGACCTCCACCAGTTGTGCCAGAAACACAGCCAAATAGGTCAACTGCATCCATCAGGATATGCACAAGCACCTTCACGACATCCTGGATAATCCACCACACAATACAGTAGATCCATACCCACAAGGGCAACAGTCTATCGGTGCTCTTGTCGCCCCACGCAAGCCCCTCCGTAAGTAAGCGATCTGGATGTGACTTTCTCCAGAAGGAAGCTGCCAACGACGACACTGTCAACGATAGAATTGCAGCACAAAAGAGAACAAGCCCTGGCCTCATCATGAAGAAAAATCTCCCTCCAGTTCGCGACGAAAACAATGTTAAAAAGTCAGAGATCGAAATCTTCAGGTAGAGCATTGTCACCACTTTTCCCTGAGGCAGTATCGAAAAGCCCAAGTGCTTGAACCACGAGTTATGGTAGTGTGATTCGGAGTAACCCTCCAGAGCAACCCACAACAGCAGGAGTGACGATGCACATGCCACAACGGCCAAGATTGTTGCACTCACAAACACAACACTTAGGTTCCACTTCTGTGGTCTCTCAGATGGAATCACATAGTCATATCCGATGGTCATCAGGCAGCCGTCGTTCAGCAGCGTAATTAGCATGAACATCAGCACGGGGAGGTGGAAGAACTGGAAGTCAGGATCCGTGCTGCCATAGTCGATTGGCCTCAGGCTGAAGCATGCGATAAAGAAAAACCATACGAGCTGCAGCGTTGCGGAAATACGATACGTTAAGAACGATAGCATACGCTGGAACACCTCGCGCGACACCAGCATCGCCTCCACGACAACACTCAGACCAGGCTCTGTCAACACCATGTCCGCAGCTGCGCGCGCCGCGTCTGTTGAACCGTGCACCGCAATGCCGACATCCGCACGCTTCAGCGCTGGTGCGTCATTCACACCATCACCCGTCATCGCACATGTATAACCACACTGACGCAGTGCCTCGACAATCATAAACTTGTGCTCCGGGAACACTTGCGCGAACCCACCTGCGGCAAGCATCATCTCACCGTACTTCTCCCCGAGGTCTGGCGGCAGGTCCGTTGCATCCTTTAACTTAGGAAGCTTCTCTGCAGTCAGGATGTTCGGATCCAGGTTCAGCATACGGCACATCTCCTTTGCAATCAGAAGGTGGTCACCCGTGATCATCTTCACATCCACACCGTATTGCTTGCTGCGACGAATCGTATCCTTTGTGTCCGGACGTGGAGGGTCTAGAAACGTCAGAATCCCGGCCATAAACCACCTCTCCTGTGGATCAGTCTTCGCAATGGACAGGCATCGAACACCGCGCGACGCCAAGGAATCGATGATCTCCACCACCTCATCGTTGATCTCATCTTGGTTGTGTACCATCTGCAGAATCACGTGCGGGGCACCCTTTGTCACACTGAATACTTCACCCGTGCGCTTGTCCTTAAGTGTTGCCGCTGTGCGCTTTGTTGTTGGGTCAAACGGAGTGAAGTCCAGCTGTTCGTAGTTATCGCATTCGTCAAGGTCTGCCGCATTGAGGACCATCGTGTCCAGCGCGTCGCGCGGTGGTTCGCGCCACTTCGCGGCAAGTGCAGCCAGCACAAGCAGTGATCCCCGGTCGCTTTTACCATCAAACGTAAAGCACTGCTCTTGAATTTCCATCTTGTTTAGTGTCAGTGTTCCCGTCTTGTCAGAACACAGCATGTTCACGCCAGACATCGTCTCGATCGCAGACAACCTTGTGACGATAATCTTATGCTTGGACAAGTGCTTTGAGCCCACAGCCAGCGTCGTAGTTACCACGATCTCTAGCGCGATCGGAATCGAAACCACCAACACCACCACAGAAAACTCAACTGCATTCCGGAAACTCTCGTGAAAGTGGGCTAGTAGGTAAATAAAGCAGCACAAGCACAACGCAAACGAGATAGCGCATAACACGAACATAACACGAGATAGGATAACATGAATATGGCCTATGTCTGTCCCAACAGCTTGCAGCAGTGCCGCGGTCTTGCCGAAGAATGTACTTGCACCCGTGAACTGTACAGTGCCCTCCACCTCACCGCGCACAACGTTCGACCCCATCTTCGGCATGTTCTCTGGGCCCATCGACACGGGTAGAGACTCACCGGTCAGAGCAGACTCGTCCACATCAATGATGCCCTCGTTGATGCTACAGTCAGCAGGAACTGCAGATCCAGATGCCAGCTTCACGAGGTCACCAGGAACGATCACAGCAGCATCAATCTGCTGCCATGCGCCGTCACGTTTCACTGTCGCCATGGGCTTCAATGAGTTCTTCAGTGCGGCCACCGCATCACCAGCTTTGATTGTTTCGTACCAGCCGATTGTTGCGTTCGCGATCTGGATTGCCAGAAGAATGGCGCCATCGGGCCAATTCTGGAGTGCAAATTCGATAATGATGGCAATCCAAAGTGCAATAGGCATCGGGCCCCACAGACCCCGGAGGTAAATCAGCCAGCTCGGTGTTTTCTTCTCCGTAAGCTCGTTGCGGCCGTATTGCTTAAGCAATTCTTCAGCCTCCGCTGTCGTCAGACCTTTCGATGGAGGGAGCAAGTCAACGTCTGGTGCATCCGCGTCCTCATTGTGCTCGCTGATGGCCTTGGATAAAACGGACTGGCGGCGCTGAGGCTTCTGAGCGGGCAACCCCTCCTCAAATACATTCTCTTCTTTATTGTCTGGCATTACAGAGGTATTTTTAACTGTACTTTCGCACCTTTATTGTTGCAATAATATTTTTTTTTTATAATAAATTGGATGCAATTTATATTTATATGATATATCAAAGAATTATGTTGCAATATTACTTAGTATTTCTCCCTTTTCAAAAAAAAAGATCTGTTACGGGGAAAGGAGCTTAAAGTTTATTATTACAAATTATAAGATCAGAATATGTTTTTATATTGATAAATATTCATAGGGCAATGTAATGGGAAAAAAGAGGAATGAAACCAATTCAATTACTTTGAAATATATCAGTCCATAGGAGAAAGACCCATTTCTCGATTCTTTAATTTCCAGAAACAAAAGAAACGAAACTAGTCTTCCGACGAACACATATATTCCGACCATCATCTGCGGCACTTACTTCCAGAACCCTTTTATGAGACTGTAGAAACTCCACGAACTCTTCACGCCGTGATTGTAGGGCGTGGCGGCATAGTGCCGTCAGACCTCCCTCTCCCCTCGTCATGTCCTTCTCGGTATGTGAAAGTGCCGACAGAGACGTATCAGCGCGGTCAAGTATCACGTCCACAGGCTCCAAAACGTGTGTAGCAAAATGGCTCAGGAGATCAACAATAATATGAGTAAAGTCATCTAAATCAGCGTTGGCAGTGTAGCGCCGCACTCTCATCCCATCCACGTCGACCCAGCAGCAGCGACCAGCAAGGCGCAGACACCCCATAATCTGCTGAAGGTGATTCCTTTCATTTTGTTCACTACCATCGATGTCCCCACAGTCTATCTGATCCCTTACTTTGAGCTGCAATAGCTGAGCTTGGCTGTCCTCTGGAATTTTCGACAGAAACTTATTAATTGACGTCCATGTCGGGCGCAATGCCGATGACACCTTCACTGGCAGGTCCTCAGCCTTCAGATCACCTAGGCTATTAGGGGCCAGCCAGTATGGGCGCAGGCGCACCATCCTCCCACCGTCGCCTTCAGATAGTGAAACTGTGAGAAACAAGTGATGATGGGCATTGGCATTCGTAAAAGTTTCTCCATCAGCCTGGATTATTCCCTCAAACTCTGCTGCGGTGACTCCAGCCTGCTCTGCCGCTTCAATCAGAGATACAAACTTTGCATAGGGAATAATATTGATTATCTTGAGCAGTGTGTGTAGTGACTGAAGGTGATCCACATGTTCAATCCCAGAAAAAATTGAAGATCTAGGTACTCCGCTTAGTGCCAACGACGAAGCCGCTGTACTCCCTTGAGCAGTATTGAAGGCATGTCTATTCTTCGCCACCAGAGGGTTTGGATTCGATGCGCCATGTGCGCTACGAATGATGGGCTTTAAAATAGGGAAAGCATTCGTCGCAGCAGTGCCCTGCAAAGTTACGCCACAAGGTCGCGCGGTTAGCCGTGATGCTGACCCGTGCCTTGTGTCCGGGCCCCCGGTCAGGCGCTGCGGATCCCATTTGGCGTAGTGCACATTGGCCTGCCCTATGCGTGGGTGCTGCAGACTTGGTGCCAGACGAGCGTGGTTATTGTTTTTATCATATTCGAAGAAGTAGGAGTACACCTTCACAACGTGCGATATGGTGTTTCGCGGGCCCAATATCCTCGCGAGAGCATCTGTCGGCACAAGCTCCGGTACGGGGACGAAGAAGGTCGGAAAACACTCAACGAAAAAGTCTAACATTTCCAAAGGAGTGCGCCAGCCGCGCTGGATAGCCAGCTCGGTGTGAGCCTCTTGCAGTTCCTGTGGATTCTTGGGGCGCCCTTCACAGCTGCTCCGACAAGCCGCAGCTCGCTCCTTCACCTGCGATTCTGAGTGTGCTTTGTCAGATTTGTAAATGGGCTTGGCTGAGTCAACCGGGGAATCCGCAGGCGTCGTCAATCGAATCGCAGGAGCCTTAGAAGATTTTGGAGATTTCTTGGATTTCGTTGATGCTCTGGCGCTTGAGGTGCCAGGAGACTTTTTCTGGGGTGCCGACAAGCCGTCATAGAACACATTTGGCCAATGAACTGTGGTTGCCGCCCATGCCGCAGCATCTTGCCCCGTCTCAGTGGGTACGTCCTCCTCATCTTCGACGAATGAATCACTTGCTGAAACCTCCTCTTCTTCATCCAGAAGCAAATCGCCCACCCAGGAACTCACGCCGAGGTCGTTACTCTTCATAAGCTGCTCGGCAGCAACATCCGGTGCCCAAGCCGCAACATCATGCAATTCCCCTGCACGTGCGAGGAGGCTATTTTCGGCGGAAAGCATCACATGATGTCTGGCAACTTCGTACTGCTCATGAAAAAGACGTATAAGGCCCTTTCCACTGGATTTTACCTGCAGTAGAAATTCCTCTGGCGCGACCTCCCGCATGACCTGTGTGACAGGTAACGGTTTGGAAGGTGGAAGGGCTGCCGCTAAAAGACCCCAGTCCGGTGTTGATATGGAAGAAACATGTCCATCTGCAGGATCATTCACAGGCTGCAGAGCATGCCGCTGCCCACATTTAGCAGTTCTGCTTGGTGCAGTAGAGGTACTAAGCCGCTCCTCTTGGCAGGTGCCGGCTACCGAACGCGAGGCAGGCCGAATCAGTGCACGTAATTCCTCCTCAGTATACAAATCCGCAAGATCATTTAATTTCATAGTAAGAGCGCCACTACCACCATCGGCGGATGGTATGGCTCCTGCCGGACTCTTTATTGGTTTCAAACGACTCACGTACCACCGCCGCCCAGAGCCAACGCCAAGGCCTCCACCAGATACCCCCTGGCCCTCAGACGCGGACACGGTGAATACGTCAGGAAAGCTTTGAAGGAAAGAAAGAACAGAACCGCCCCCAGACAATTTATTTATAGCTTCCACATCCAAAAGCGGTGTGAGGTCTGTTAACCGTATTGAGCGGCCATCCTCCGGTAATAAAGCAACAGCTTCACTGACGATTGCCCTGACAGCCTCCGTGACCGTTACTTCGCCTGCCCCGCTTTCCGTGGGTCCCGCCGCCGCGCTTGGCATTGAGGCCGACTCAGATAGGGCCGAAGACGCCTCATTCATACTGAGAAGAAACTCCTCATAAGTAGCCATGGCGGCATCCTGGTCCTCGTCATCGTCGTAGCCGTTTTGAGCGAAGTTTGCCTTATCAGGGCAAACCGCTTGATAGCTTCGTTTGCTGATGATATCATGCACTGCATTAGGGTCTTCCTCTTCCTGCTTGGCGATCCCGATGGCCTCCATCCCACTACATAAAAGTCGATATGATGTGTTAGTTGCATGAGTTGGTAGCCACTTCAGCGACAGGGCACTAGCACGATATGAGAGATACACGGTTTTCGGCCTAGACTTCAGTGATGCAGTTAAACACTTAGTAGTAGCAAAATTAGAATAATTTCGCAAAGGCTGAACTATTATCATCGATGGCGACCACGAGGTAGCGATCCAAATTGCACGCCGATACATCGGCTTACCGACCGTGGATAGAACAACACAGTTCATAATACATGATAGAGTTTGAACCTACTTTATGGAGGCAATAGAAAGGTAACGAAATAAAGGAACGATCAAGTCGATTGAATTTTGTAGGAGAGCGCAGAAAGATTGTAACCAAAAAGCATTTTGAAACAAGAGGAACTTCCCCCCTGCCGATTTCATGTCCAACGTAGTTTTTACACGAATTAGAGTTAGTATTCTTGTTCACCTCTTCCTTCAGTGGAACAGAAGCGACATCGCATAAATTTTTTGGATTTTTTGCCTTCTCGCCCTATTTAATTCGGGTCAGCTGTATTCTGTTCACATTCATCGAGAATAACTTCCACAACCAACGAACAGGTATCGCACTCACAGTAAGTCGTTTTCCTCCTGAGATTACTCCGAGTCGCTTGCAGCATCTCAGCTGTCTGCGCAGATCCAGACCTAAGTTGAGTGATCTCATAGGTGCCACCGCAGCGGCACTCACGCTGGTAAATATCAGCCCACCCCCCACCGAAGGAAGAACCCTCCAAGGAAGACACTAAAACAAAGTTCTCTGAGAGGCTACATGTTTCACTGGAGGCTCCCACAGAGCGCAGCATAGTCTGGCAATGCAGCTGATCATACTGGTGGCGCAGAAAAGGGTCCAGCAGGACCTCGACAGCCTCTTTCACTAGATAAAACGGAATCCCAAAGGATGCTACGGTACCTGCCTGATCATGCAGCCCCTGGTTATTAGTCATGCTATGATCCCATTGGCCCATGCTTTTGTCTGGATGCGTCCGCAGAGCCATCTTCCTAAAACTTTGTCGGATCTCAGAAACGCCAGCAGACGGGGAAACTCCAAGAACATCATAGGGGGTGCAATTATCGTATGACCACAGACTTGTCATTTTATGGCGCGCGTGCCAACCTGTGCTGTAAAGAACCAAATAAATACGGGATGGAGTGTTATTAAAAAGACAACGTGATAAGTCACTGTTGAATGTGTTGCTCAATACCTTGATTTCCTTCGCTATCTTCGCCTGTTTGAAGCTAGAAACGCCTTCTAACTAGTACTGAAAGCTAAAGAGACGGATGATCTTGGAGGACAAGAGATGAATACAGTAGCCTTTTTTGTTGTTTAATTAGTTTCTGTTATACTATTGAGTGCATTCAGTTTGTGTATCCGCTAGGACAGTGATGAAGGCCACTAAAAGAGCAATATAAGTAATATTAATAAGGGGGGGGGGGGAAGTATATAAACCCTAAAATGGGAAAAAAGTTTGCTATATGATGCATGCCTATGTGATTATTTTACTACTTTTCAAATTTCAGCATTGTCCCATGGTCTTTCCCAGATGATGGCGAGTATTTCTCTTCCTCTAAGCCTCTTCTAATTCCTGTGCGATTTCATTATTTTCGTCCGCATCACCCATGTACAGGCTGCCTACTGGACACAACTGCGAGACCGGCATATTGTGATCCGTTTTTACCTCCAGCTCATCCAAGAAAGTGGAAATTTCACTGAGGCCACCACGACCAATTTGCCCAAGGTTAAAGTCCTGGGCATGCTCGTTTAGGAAACGAATGCACCGTGTGCAATGGATGCAACGATTCAGTACAACGCGCGTTTGTGGATCAAAGTAGAAGTCCTCCACGGCCTTTTTGTCGTCTCGATAACGCGGAATACTTGTACCATAGTTCATGGTCACATTTTGAAGGTCACAGTTGGTGGCCTGCTCGCAGATAGGACAGTCATTGGGGTGGTTGATTAAGATCAGCTCCACATTGCCCTCACGAGCGTCGCGCACGAGGCGACTGTCCGTGATGATGGACATACCAGGCAACACTACAGTTGAGCACGCTACAACTAGGTTCTGTGTGCCGTCCACCTGCACCATACACATACGGCAGTTGCCCGCGACTGACAAGAGAGGGTGATAGCAAAACTTGGGAACACGAATGCCCTCCCGCTCCAGCACCTCAAGCAGGTTCTCCTCCTGAGGAATAATCTCCACGGGGCGCTTATTCACAAACATAATAGCCCGCGGTTTGTTCTCTGCATACTGTCCTGCAGCGACTTCCTCCGCAGCGGATTGGATTGCTGCGTCGCGTAAATGCGTGCTCCCGTGCGCAGTATTTGCCATGTCCATATTGTACGGCATGTCACTCTTAAAAAGACGCCGCGACACCCGCAAGTTGGAATAACCTGCGGTAGTAAGACAATTCAAAGCGATCCTCTGGACCCGTTGCATGGTGAAGTGTCTACCCCTTATAGGTTGAAACTTAAAGAAAAATTGATAAATAACTAGCCTTCACGTACTTCAAGTTTTATCCCTAAATTGAACTAATGATATACCTAATTTCTAAAGCAAATAGTGCTACTCCCGCCCCTATGATTGCAAACTCGAAAGAAAAAGCGGGCGCCTAATTAATTGTGGCAACACAATTGTTTCTTTCTTTAATCGAAGCAATGGTCTTTTGAAAGAGGTAAAAAAGAGAAAAGCAATGACAAAGGATCAGCAATGCAGAACAGAGAAATACACTTCAGCCCATCGTCACTCAATTGCGTGCAATTCTATGCGGAAGAAAAGGCACCCAACTCCAAAAGTATGAAACACAACCTCACCAGTTGCGTACAATAGTTCTCGGTATATGTTGCACTAGCGCAGAGAGTGGAAATGGATACCAAATGATGAGGTTGTTTCTTTCCTTTTCTCAAAAGTCCAACCATAATAACAAAAGCCCACTCAATTAAAAGCTAACAGCTCTCTTTAGTGAAGCTTTCATGGCGATACTATACAAAGGGAGCCTACGATGCATTACCCTTTGTCGCTATTCACTCCGTCCCCCAGATGTGTACTCAATTGAAGTTAGAGAAAACAAAATGTACAATACGATCAGCATTGCGAAGATCTGCAGATAAGTTCCCCGCCGCTCCCGACGCCGTTGCCAGGCCCTTAGCTTTCCGAGTTCCCCCTCACTGATGTCGCCGTCCACACGATTCAGTAAAAGCAATGAGCACATCCCAACAGGCTCAAAACCATTATCCAGAAGCATCTCATGAAAAATGGGCATGTGTGCGGCTCCCCAAGGTATGGCAAAGGTCCTGTAGCCGTTACACCGCAAAGGATAGATCATGTTGAGGCAATGCTTCTCACGTTTGAGACTCCCCAACACGGGGGCGTTGAAGCGGACGGAGCACCACCAGGGCAACTTCTCGTAGTCGTACTTGTCGGCTGCGTGAACGACGGTGTGGTTCGGTGAGTCCTTCACACCCCAGGAAAAGGGCTGGAAAAAGTTCTCCATCTCTCGCGGCTCCCAGCCCTCGTCGTCCTCGTGGTCAGGCGGACGTACCTCTTTTGGGCGCTCCCGTGGTGGTACCATGGTGCTGTGGGGCGCCCCGGTCAGCGGGGCTCGGCCCTCCATCAGCACGGAGTCGTGCTGACAGCACAAATCATCGACCTGCTTGAAAAATAGCGGATGGGCGAAGTGGCGAAGTGGAATGAGCGTGACCAAGGTGTTATCGCTACTGCCGGCGCCACCGTACTTGTAGGTGTGTGCGATGCTAACAGCATAATCGTCCCGGCAAAAAATAAAGTCCGTTACGCTTTTACTGCGGAAAGGCGCCATGTAGCGCCAGCGTGGTTTGTAAGAAAAGGCACCTACTTCGCTTTGGAGTTGCGATGTAGATGATGGATCACCACTTGAGCAGGGGTTTGGGGCGTCCGTGTGTAGAAGCGGTTCGGAAGCCACGGAATCAGACTGGGATTGGGTATTGTGCACCTTAAAGTTGGTGCTTTGGTACCGCCTAGTAGTCAGCTCTGTCGTGGGGCATGGCAAGTGCGGTAAGTGGAGTCCATGACGTTTGGCCCTTCGAATAGACGCCTCGGCAAACACCCGCGCATAGCAGGTCAAACATTCAGGTAGCATCAGCTGTAGGAACGTGTGTTTGGAAAAATCAACATCAGAGTCAAAAAAAAGAGTCAAAATGATAGAGGATCAAGAATCATGCCATTTTTACTTGAAGTAGAAACAGATTTTGAATAACGCGTGCATGGCTTTTTGATAGATAGCCAAAAGTCATTAATATTCTTAAAAACAAACCTGCTGGCTATGCATCTCCAACTAATGTTGAAACATTTTCAATCGGGTATTGTCATCCCGCTAACATACAGAAAAAAAAGACTCCAAAAAAAAAAGTGGAGAAAGCCTCCATCTTGGTGCATCGTATGATGCACAAAACAAAAAAAACTACATCTGCAGCTCTAACAACACTCTACGTTCACGAAATCGAGAGACCATGCGTTAAAAGAAAAGAAGTTCATCTTACCATGATGCTTGTTGTCCATCAAAGCCAAGACTCATCACGCTCCGCAGCGGGGGTCTGCAGATTCGCCATGTTAAAGCTATGGACCTGCACCATACCCTTTTCAAACCCAAGCGCCAGTAGCTGCTTTTCCGAAGACCTGACCTCTGCAGGGGTGTCCATGCAAAGGCACGCCCCTGTGTCAGCCTGTGCAAGGGGAAACGAGAACTGCGGCTCCTCTCGATTCCTATGTGCGTGATCCAAGACGTGTAGCGTGCCGGCCTGATCCAACGCGAGCGTGATCCAGCGCGCGATGTTGGAGCAGCGCAGCTCGATGATAGGGACCCCCGCGTTGGCCACCACGACCGTCAGCTGGGGGGCTTTCTGATTGTGCAGAAATAGGCGCACGGTGCCGTCCTCGTAGCCCGCCTCGATAAATCGACTATCCAAGACATTGCACTGCACACAGCACGGCACCGCGATAGGCTGACTGAAGTGGTGGGTTGTGGGGCCATAAAGGGAGGGGACCGTGATGCCACCGTAGCGGCTACAGTGCACAATCCCCTTCGGCGTGGCCACAACATAGCGTGAGGCGTCAGTGGGCGTGAAGTCCAACGCACTGGCCCCCCATCCACACCCCGAGCAAGTAGGCAGCACTGAGGACGACGCCAGCGGTGAAGGATCAGTGGTTGAATCCATGTTGTGGTAGCCCTCCCGCGAGGAGGACCCAACCAATGAGAGCTTGACAGTCGAAAAAATGTGCATGCCGTGATCGTTCTGGTTAATGGTCGTCCTCGAGCGAGTATCCTTATCGCTGACAGCCCAAAACTTCACCTCGCCGCTGCTGTCAAGCGAAGCTAGCTGTTCCCCCCCTTCGCGCTTCGGCCCGAAGACGTTGTTGTAGCCAACAATGCGCAGCTGCCGCACGGGTGAACAGTGCTGATCGGTATGCCAGCTTGAAGAGTAAGAGGGTAGACGGAACACCAGCCTCCGATAACATCCTTCATATAAATGATGATGGTCCGGCTCGCGTAAATCCCACACACAAACGCTGCCATTCTCAGAACCGCCGTAAACCAGCTCCGGGCGACTGGGGCTAAAGCAGAAGCATGGCAAGCTGGAATAGCTCACGAGAATCCTCTCCGGCTCTGTGTTGTCAAAGATGCTCCAGACGAGAATTACGGAAGGGTATCGGTCGAGCTCAGGCAAGCCAACTGCCCCCTGTGCCTCGCCGTAAAGAACCGCCACGCAGTGCGAGGGTGCGTAACTAAAACAAACCTTCTGCAACTGCCGTGTGTTTGTCAAAGAAAAACTATAGGTAGTGCAGGCGTAAGAAAAGGAGGCTAAAGGAGCAGCCCCAGTAATATTCTTGCTGATTCCCTCATTCCCCTCAGCATCGCTTTGTTTTCCGAAGGTTTGGGAATCCAAGACGGCGCTCATGACGGGTAGCACGTGATGGATGAAATTGCCCAGAAGATTAGGATCCGCAGATGGGACAATCATCTCCATAAGGTCATCCTTTTTATGATCAGCCTCGCCCTTATCATCGTCCACATCGTGTCCCTCTGTGGATTGTTTGGGGTGAAGGAACAGATCATCGGGCGCTTGCATCGTTTTTTGCTTCCAATGCGCACGATCAACCTGTACCTCAGCGTCGATGAAATCCTCCTCTGCTGGGGCCTGCACCAACATTTGCCGTTTACCGCTTTCGCTGAAGCTGCGAATGTAGAGATCATACTCGGATTGAGGCGCCGCGTCGAACAACACCACCGCAGCATCGTCGAGGTCCACCAAACGACGAAGCACCGTCGCGCGCGCTAAATCCTTCTCAAATTGGCCACGATACCCCTGCCGTCGCAAGTCCTGCATAGTGGAGGAGCTATCGTCTCCAACGGAATCCGCTGGCGCAGAAGAATTCTGCTCACTGCCTTGAAGTTTTTTTAGCTTCCTGCTCTCTCTACGCTCACTGACGCGACGACCTACATTCGAGTTATTTACATCATTTGCCCCTCGTGATGATCCATGATCATCCATGTTTTCGTTGTTTAGAGACGCTGCCGCATCCCGCCCCTTCCTAGACTGTGTTGCACTGCGAAGGTTGGTCTCACGATTCTCTTCCTCCATGGCGGCCACGAGCATGTCCACTTCATTGGATGGTTTTACACTCAAAGTGCGATTCGTATTAGAGGCTGTTGAGGCTAATTCCTTTGTAGAGTCGCTGTAATCTGCATTAGACTCTGCATTGGCGGCTGCAGCTGCTTCCCTGGCTTTGCGCTCAGCTCTCTCACGCTCCTTACGAGCTCGTCGCTCCTCTTCCGTCTCCCTTCGGCGCTCCTCCTTTTCACCACCAACAGCTCCGCTAGCCCCAGCAGGTTCGACGGCTGCAGCTGCTTCCCTGGCTTTGCGCTCAGCCCTCTCACGCTCCTTACGAGCTCGTCGCTCCTCCTCGTTTCGGTGCATGACCCCTTACCCAAAGAGCTAATATATTTAGAGATTATCAGCGATATATAGCACTATGTATCTTGATTTAAGGCTAGGATATGGATTGTGTCGTTATTGATATGATGAGCAACTTAAATGTAAACCAAATACGATATAGGTAATTCGTAAAACGAAGGAAAAAAACTTTGGGCACGCTACGGTTGCTTTGATAGTTCTGCTTGCTAAAAATATTTTTGACTTTGTTCCCTTATTGACCGAGTGCTTCCCATGCTCAGCCTTCTGTGCTCTGAAAGCAAAGAAAACAGGGTGCGAACTGACTGTGAAAGTTGCACACATAAAGAGAAATGGCAATGTAATTATCTTCAGCCCCAGGCCTTCACATAAAAATCAAAATGAAATCAAGAAGCACTGTATCTAGGAAGGCAAATAGCTCATGGCATACTTTTTTTTGATAAATCAACTCCTCTTCGATATTGATAATACAAATCGGAATTACAATTATGCCTAAATTGCAGTTCACCATTCACGTATCTCAAGCCCCAAGAAGCAATCATCATGAAGTTTAAGACGAATGCGTCCGATTAAATAATGCTGAAGAGAAGCTATTGAAGACTCTGGTGCCATATCTATCGGTTGTCATACACCTGCCTCCTTACACACTGCCAACACACGTAACGAGATGGGAAGGCCAACGAAAAGATACCCGGAAGGAGGAATCAGGTCACAATAACTCAAAAGCTAAATATTCCCTGTAGAAAAGGACATGACAGCTCCTTCCCTCCCTATATATGCCATACCCCCCCCCCTCCCCCCTGCATTTCCCTTTGGCTACCTCAAATTGAAGGAATACAAAGATGGCACTGTTATGTTGATTACCCGTTGGAGATCTCCCAGATATTGTCCCCCCCCCTGTCACGATCGTTTATTCGTACATCATTTCAGAATGACTAATCATATGCATAGTTATTTATTATTATTCAACAAGTAATTAAACAAGAGAGAGAGAAAAAGAGAAGAAAGAAAGATAGCCATAATAAAGATGATGCAAAAGAAGAACCACTTCCTAATACGAAACTATCGAAGTGGTGAAACATTTTTTTTCTCGTTTCTGATTACAAATATTTCATGTATGCTGTGATCAGACCACCCCCACAAGACTCCCACTTTTCGCGTAATCATCTTGAATGAACATAGAAAATCAGACACTTGTGAAAAGTCAGATACATGAACGGATGTAGCAAATTAGAAAAAAAAATGTAAAAATGATAATCATTCATTTAAACAGCTCGTTTGGATACCTCTATACGAGTCCCCTTCTTTCTGCTTTAGGCTCAAATCTCGCTTGGAGTAAATAAAAAAAATGCATAATCACCAACCGTGAGAAAATATGCATGTATAACCCTAAAAGGTACTAAAAATTTTTTTCTTGCCTCATTGATAGAGTAGCTTTCGTGATGCGCCCAATGATTATGCTAAATTAAGGAATAAAAACAGCACTACATCCTATAGCATTGTCAACAGAGGAGTAGTACGTTAAAATACTCCAAAGAAAAAAAAACTTATAAAGTGATCAACATTCCTTACAGCAAGCTATATTATCTCCATTCCCCAGAACGAATGACGAATATTGAGGTATAAAAATAGAAGTTTACTGTAAGAAGGCAAAAACGCAAAAGGAGACTGCTTGAAATGAATTCGATCGTCTCAAGCAATAAAAATAAATAAAACTCTTAATCCAGCTCTGTATGAAGTGTTTTCCGTTACCGATTTGTATAATATTAATCACTTGCTCTCACGTACTCGTGATTGTTTTATTTTTAGCTCATATAGATATAGATATAGATATTATATATATATAATCCGAAAGAAGATGAAAATCTGAAGAAACGAATGTTTTTTTATCTACATGTCAGCCATCTGTGGTCGGACCCTCCCAACCCACGCACACCCTCCTGAAACGAAGATCATCGCAAGATATTTATACTTAGAAATATTAAAAAAACAGCGCGCTGGGGGTTCTCCCCACCCCTCTTCGCCCAAGTTGCTCCCTGAGCTACAGTTAACCCCCATTCCCTCCCCTCCTTTCCCTTTCTCCGCATGAACTGTTTTAGCCGTGTACGCCTCAACTCACGGCGGGGTTACCGGGCACCCCCTGCTTGGACGAGGGGGGCCCATCCCACCCCATCGCGGGACGCCAAGGCGGGCCCGCGGGCTGCGGCTTCCCATGGCGCCCCAACGCCGGGTGGCCGACGCCGTTGACGGCCGGCGTAAAGCGCTGAGGTTGAGGCTGGGAAGGGGGCAGAAGGGAGGCCGCCGGGGGGGAGGGCGGGGGAACGAGGGCGTCCCCTAGCGGCCCGCCCACGTGCTGCCCCGGCGGCTCGTCCTCCACACTCACACAGGCCGGCTCGCACATCTGGTGGATGTCCGGCGTGCAGAGGACGGAGGGGTGTCGGCAGGTCGGGCACTGCGGCAGGGCGATGCCGCGCGGCGGCCCCTCCTCCTGCCCCCATGGGCAGTTGAGGGTGCTGTTCCGCTGGATCGCGCTGATGGTGTTGCCAAAGAGGACCTGAAGGACCTCCACCTCGCGGTAAGTGAGCCGGGAGAACGGGGATGGATAGCCGGGCAAGGGTAGATCGACCTGGCTCGCCGATGGGGCGGCGGTGGTATTGGGTACGTAGCCCGAGGTGCCGCCCTGCTTCATAGGCGACTGCGGCAGCTGCGACTGATGGACGCCAAACGAGGAGGTGCCGCCGCTGCTGAAACTACTGCCTCCGTTTGAAGAGGCCGGTCTCGGGGGCACGCAGGTAGCTGTGACCTCCGCCTTATCACTGCCACCGTTGAAAAAAGGTAATTCGGTCTTGGGACAGGACAGCTTGTCGGAGGAAGCCTGAAGTAGACGAAGTCCCTCCTGAAAGGCACGACGGATGCGCTGAAGGTGGTTGCGACAAACCCCACGCACCATATTGCTGCTCCACCGCAGCGGGTCAAGAACATTCATAGGACGCACTGGGAAAAGTGCGGTGGTACAGGATGGGCAAATCAAATGAACATCCTCCTCGACATTGCCACGGCGGTTAAGCTGTACGGGTCGGTGTATCTCGGATGAAGATTCACCACTGGCGCCTGCACCCACCGAGTTAGGGTGAGATTTGGTTCGCGCAGACTGCCGCTCCTCATACCACCGCATGCGCTCCAACGCGCGCGAAGTATTCATCTCATCCAGCAGATGCTTCACGCCACTGACAGTAAGTAACGGCTGGCGACGGCGGCGAATGAGGTGCCCAATAGCCGCCTCGCCCTCTGGTGTAAGGCCCAGAAAATGTGTATTGACATTCGCCCTGTTCGGGTGTGGCGTTTTATGCGCCGAGTCCACCTCCAGCTGACTGAGATCGTACGGCGTGGAGGTGATGCCTGTCAGCCGCAGCGGCCCGAAGGCCGTCACGCAATAATGATCATAGTCAAAATAATAGAAGAATTTCAGAAAGCGAGCGAAGAGTATCAATGGGGTTACACGGTCCGGCACGGCGGACGTCGCGGCCACCGTCTCCTCCCCTCCCCAGCGACCCGCCGCGTCGGACGTATTCGACTCCTTCTCATCGGACTGGGCAGCGTTCGCTTCGCTGCGCACAGCAGCGTGTACTGGTGCGCTGCTCTGGGGGTCCTCCGTCAAATCCTCGAAAAACTCCACGGTGTTAATCAACGAAATAAGCATCACCGTGGCGGCGTAGGAGCCAATGTAGCCCGCCTGGCCACCCAGAACGTGTGCTTCATAGCAACACCACGACTTGAGCAGCAGCAGCGTGCGCTTTAACAGGTGCTGGCCCCCGATAACCGCGTCCATCTCATGGAGGAAACGAACACAATTGACGCCACCGAACTGACCAATTGTCACATCGTAGGAGCTGCCCTCCATCAGCAGCTTCAGAACTCGAACCTCGGCCATGACAAGGGTATCGACGTAGATGGGGGACCTGTTTTGCAGGTACTCCCGCATTCGTGAGAGTAGATCGCCAGACGAGATACCAAGCGCCGCTGGTGGTGCCAGGATCGGCTTGCCACTTGCCGTAGTACTGAGATGCAGCGTGCCCTCTCGGTTGCCCGAGCTACTGTCTGTGGTGATAGGGGGAAGTGGGATCCCGCTGCCAACGCAATCTGCCGACACCGACAGCGACGCGGTGGACCCGACCGCGGTCTGACGCGCCGCGCCGCGTTGCGGTGAGATCGCATCATTGCTAGCCCGCCCCCCCGTCGATAAGGATCCAACGAAATCAATCGTGACAGCATCGGGTGGTAAAAGCCCCTCCACCTCGATGGTAACGTCGTTGTCTCCTTCTGGCAGCACCGTGCGCATGTTGACACTTCCAAATATGTAATAACGAATGGCGCCGTAGCTCCGTTGCTGGGCCTGTCCGGCATGTCGAATGGCCTTAGTGAGGTATTCCACAAGGCGTCGAAGCTGATTACGGCGACGATGCAGCCCAGTTAATGAAAGCATAAGATAGGCAAGCACCTCGCGCTCCACAAGACTGCTGAGGGAAGAACCCACCTCTGGGGTGAAACTCATCGAATCAGAACGAGGACGGTGGAGAAAAGGCGTTTGACCGGGAGTGGTGGAAGCCACGAAACCAGAGGTTACACAAGGCGGATTCCTAGGCACGAAGGTGCCGGTGGAACCTGTGATGGAAGTGGGCTGCGCATTGTCCGGCAGAGCGGTAGCGGGAATTGGTACTATGGCTGCTGGGGGTAATGACGGCGGAGCTGCTTTACCCAGTATCGCATCTCCGTCCTTGAGGTCTCGACCGTATGATTCCGTACCTGGCATGGGCTGGAGCAGCCTCGGAGGCCCAGAAACTTCGGTTATTTCAGCCACAAGCGGCGGTGGGCACTGCGGAACACAGTCAGTATGCATAACAGGGCCTTTGGATGAGGTGGGGGCAGCCACGTCGACTGCGCCAGCGACTGACATCTCATCCGTGCAACTGTGCCTCTTGTCAATTTTGTCATTTTTCGTATAAGGGAGGGCACCTGCCTCGCGGCTGCCGGCGCCCTCATGGGGAGGAATACCACAGCCGTGTTGAATGCCTAGATCACTCTTAAGACTCGCGCCGCCGCTGCTGCTCTGCAAAGCGGGCGTCTCCACTGGGATTGTTTGCTTGAGGAGCTGCTGCGGATCAGGCACAGCCTGTGGAACAGAAGAGATTGTCGGCATCGTAAACGGGGTATCCACAGGTATCACTGTTGCTGAGTTATTCAATCTCGTTGAAAGATCCACCCAACCCCTAATACCTCCTCGTGGGGGCTGTGAATGTATTCGTTTTCCTTTGGTCAAAGTTGTAGTGACACTCGAAACGCCTAAATTGATGTGAGATAGGTCGACCCCTCGAAGAAACGGGGCCGTCGTGTGGCCATTCGCCACCATCGCCCCTCCAGACAGCACCTTGCCCGTCTCATCGACCGAACAAGGCTCCACGGAAAGGTGTGCAGAGTTTGAAACGGTTGGTGGTGGTCTCGTAAGAACCTCACTCTCCAGAAACGAACCACTATTGGAGGGGGTTGGTCGCGCAGATGGGCGCTCGTGTAATCTATCATTTACTGTTGTTCGAACTGGTGCAGCATCTCTTGTGACGTTCTTTATAACGTTGTGCGATCGCGGTTTAGTTCGACAGTTCTTCTTTCTAAAGGCATTGCCCTTCTTGTCGACCATCTCCACTAAGGACAATATTACTCGCCACTTTCTTTCGCAGCTTTCTCTTTTATCACCACTCAGCAAATTAATGTAGGTAGTTCCAGTAGCGTACGCGCTTTTCAACCTACTCAAAAAAATAAATAATGGAAATTTCCAAATGTGAATAAAAGGCCTATCAAAAACGAGACAAAAAGCAACCGAAGTATTCCTTTAACAGTTATAGATATGATAAAATGATATCACTTTACCCAAACAACAAGAAAGAAAGAAATACTTGCTTTTTAAAGTAAAAAAATGAATGAGTGAGGATTACCAATCAAAAAGTTCCAACTTGAGAAAGAGTTGTCAGCTTATTCCTTGTTCGATTACCTGAAAAAGGGAAAAACCCGTCACCCTCCCCTTGTCTATAAAAGAAAAAAAACCACCACCAAAAGGCTTGCTTTAAGTTCAGATACTATTCTCACTCCCTCTTTTTGGACAACCGACAGTAATTAAGTGTTCTCGCAGAGGAAAGTTACAGAAAATAGGTAAAGAATAGAAATGTTAAATGACTACGATGAGACTACGGCAAATAAAAAGAAGCAATAAAAAAGTACTTATTTAATTTGTCTAGCTATCAACAAGGAAAAGTTCGAGTGCTTTGAAACCTTTTGGTTGGAAATATATTAGAAAATTGAAATAAATGTTTATTTTTTTCTACTTAAAGTAATGCAGCGTTACACCTCTGTAAGGAGGATCCGCGCGTAAGACTGTCTTTAGTTGCTGTCACTTTTATGTGATTTTATTGTACAGTGTTTTTCTAAAACAAGCTACGTGATTAATTTTGAATAAGAAAGCAAAAAAACTACAAGGTGAGAAGTTGAATTCCTGAAAAAGCGCACAACTTGCTAATTTCCTTTTTAAGATTTTCTATTGTTGAATTTATCTGGTGCTAGAGTAATTTTAAACTCCTTATTCACAACAAGAGGTGGGAAAGAAGAAGCTTAAATGGGCGCTTCTCCACAACAGTATCAAAAGGTTAAGGAAAAAGTTGTGCGAAGGCACAAACATACTCTAGATTATGGGACGGTCGCCTATTGATATTTTAAAGGAGCATAACGATATAAGCTAAAAAGGCAATATATACAGAAGGACGAAAAAAACAGCAGAAAACGCAGAATGCATAAACACGTGGGGAAGGGTCTACCCTTGCACCCATGCTGAAACCACTATAACATACCGCCTCGCTCATGCTCACATCAAGTTCTTCATTTTCTCTAAAACTTGAGGGTAGCGCTGGGTAATAAGCCGCATGTCTTCCTTCCAAACGAAACCCTGCTGACGAATGTCCAAGAAACCCATCAAACGACGCGCTTCCTCGTCAATCACACGCTGTACCTCCCTATCCCGCACATTGTAGTCTCCAACGTAAAATGTGGCAGCCGTAATAACGGACTTGAGGTCAGAAAGAGATAGAAACCCATCATTGTCAGCATCGTAGGCGTTGAAAATAACCTGAAAAAGCTCCTCTGTACTGTAAATAATTGCCAAGTGGTAGATCAAGAACTCTTTGAACGTAATAATGCCATCTCCATCAAAGTCAAAAGCACGAAAAAGGTGCGGATACATGTCGTTGGCATCTTCTGTATATTGACTCTGTGAATTGATGGACCCATGATAATCCTCCTCCTCCTCTTCATTTCCATACGTGGATGTGTGATTTCCCCAGCCGAAGAAGGATCCCGCGGTGCGGACGAGGGGTTGCTGTTGCCTTAACTGGCGTTGACGGAGCTTATTACCCTTGTAAACACCCGTACTGTCAATATAGTGCTTGAATTGGATAGGCAGCATGTGCCCATCTGGGGCAACCTCGATAAACTTCCTGTAAAAAAAATCAATGGACTCCTCGGAAATGCGGTCCTTCACGAGCTCACGGTACTCGTTGAGTTGCTCGCGGGAAATGGTGGTGCCCATTTTGCTTATAGGTTGCTAATTTGCTTGATATTACTTTTGTATATTCATATATGATATTTTACATATATAACTATAGTATTACACTAACTAGGACAAGAAAAGGTAAAGGGAAGAAGATACCAGTAAAAGAACTTATCATTCGCTTTCATCCCTTTTCCTCTTAACTCGTGAATACTAATGAACCTATAGTTAACCCAAAAAGATTGAAAGGGAAAATAAAATAATTAAAAAGAGCAGAAACACAAATTAGCAATGCAAACAAAGTACGCAACAAATTGCTTTCACTCTAAATAATATACAAAAAAGACAAAATAGTGCATGTTATTTACTTATATGACCTTGGACTATTCTAGAGCTGCTTCCATTGTGCCACTCTCCCTTCCCTCATGATGCAGAGAAGGCGTAGAGCAAATAAAAACTCCCTTATATGATTGCTCCCCGCCAGCCCTTCCCTTCTCATTAGCGTTGATGAAGACATTTTACCCCTTTTGGGGAGTACAATTTGAGGAAGTGTGAAAGCACAAGAAAACTCTGAAGTAGGCAAAAAGTAACTCAGGCTCGAATAATGGTAAAAGAACTTAGATAGTAGTTCAATGGCTGCAATTGAGAGAAGAGCAACTTCTAACGTAGATGTTTCTGCAAAGTTGCAGCAAATTCAATAGAAGCAATTTGAAAAGGAAATCAGTATGCTAATGTTGCATGCTAATCGCTTCGAGGTCAAATCCCACTTCCGTGTTGAACACCGCGGCTCCGATGCTAACACACAGAAGCGTTATTAAAAAGATTGTAGGCTCTCGGGGGGGGCCCCACTAACTGGCTCCTTGAGCCGTGCCTCCAGCAATGCGATATGCTTCCGAAGGGCACATAATTCGTCTTGCGAAGACTGCATCGCACGCTGCGCAACGGTCTGAATCTGCTTTCGGTAGCAGTTATGGATTGTATTCGCACGCAGACGAATAATTCGAAGAAACTCAGCATCACAAATTTCTTCGAGATCAGCGCGGGCGCGCTGCTCAACGGCTAGTAGTTGGCTGCGGGGCTTCGCCTCTAATAGGGTGGGGGAAGTGTTGCTCAAGGGGGATGCCACCCCCCCGCCCGAATTCACACGTGAACCCACAAGAAGCCCGTTAGCAACGGCACTCTTCACAGTGGCAACCATGTTGAGAACGGCGGATGAGCGAAGATGCGGGGAAGCACCCCCAGTACTCGTGGTGGTGTCGCTGGTGGAAAACAAGTGGGAATCAGAACAGGAGTTTACACATTCGCGTGGTGGTAAACGAGCCCTCGAATCGGCCACCACAACCTTTCTCGACAGTGATAGGTTCAGCGCGGAATCGCGAGCCCCTTGGATGATCTTACGCCGCAAGCGGGACTCGAAATCGCGCAGGCCAATGCGTTCAAACATTTCAGGAAAAAAAATATTGAATAGATACAACGACCGAAACTGCTCCAACTCCTGAAGTCGTCTGCGCTCTGTCACCTCCTGACTCAAAAGGACCTTCATCGCTTTGCTGTTGCGTATGACATAATACAAGGCGCTCGCCTCGCGACCAGCCAATAGCTTGCGTGCCTTGCGCTCAAGCATCTCGACGCTCTGGCGCCCCCTCAGCTCCTTCGACGTGCACACTAGCACAGCGTGTTCCTCCCTGACACGAAGAAACAAGATCTCGCGTCGAATGGCCTCCTCCTGGATAATTCTCCGCACGTATCGGCCGTAGAAAAGTTCCTCCAACGCAGCCCGTGACCGCCGGAGCAGGCAGCCCCACTCCAACGCCTCTTCCTTCTCAATCAGCTGCCCCCGCTCGTCCCGCTCATCCGCCACCGTCATGCATAGCTGCGCGGTGAAGAAGGCGGCGGGGTTTGCCCGCGCCTCCGCCTCCCGCTCCTCCTGCAGCTTCGCCTGCTGCTCGCGCAGCCGCCCCAGCCGCTCAGCGCGGCTGCTTCGCTCC